GGACAGTTTTGTGTCTAGAGACTTGATTTGTTGTTTCGTTTTATTTAGTTTGGATATTTAAAACATCTTCCCGTGTTAAATGTTCATTATTAATGTTATATCACTTGAAAATGGTCTCAAAACAACATTATTGTTTATTGCTCAGTTTTTAGCCTTTGGGACATTTTATTGTCCCAGAAGTAAAAAAATAGCTTTTTTATGCATATTTTCATCACTTCTTCTCTTCCTTGTTATATAAGCAAGACTCATACTAAAGCATCATTCTTCCTGTTTCCTGATTCTCCTGAATGCCTCACGTTTCAGAGCTGTAATTTATGTCAGAGTGATGAACATCCAAGGTTACAGGATGCATCGCTGACATTTTCCTCTTCCTCACTTCTGCCCTCCATTTTTCCTGCTTCATCCCGCAGGATGAAGCAGGATGAAGCAGGCCAGCAGCGACGGCCAGCAGCGACACACACTCGTCACTTTCACATTAAAAACTTGATCAAGTGGCTTGGTTTTCAGGGTCTCGGGTGGAATCGGCTCTAAACGCCTCGCGGCGTCGAGGCGTGGACGTATTTTCATGCGCAGCCGTTTTATTGGCCATCTCTCTCTGATAGAGCCCAGAAATTTGTTTGCAGCCGTTTTATCGTTCTGAGTGTTTGTCTGAGAAGTGCGTGTGCTTCCGTTCATGCCGGTATCTGATGACCTTGCTGGGGGAAATGTTACTGACTCGTGGCTTTGAGTCGGACCTGGGGGGAAGGGAGGTTCTGATGGAGATTTTTCTGGATTTGTTTCAGTCATCTAAAATATAAAAACGGTTCATCAAAACCTTATTCATCCAGCCGTTTCTATTCCGCCTCACATCTCCCCTCGACGCTGCAGAGCTGCATGCTTTTTACTGCTGACATGACCTCTGACCTGAGAGCTGAGAGCCACATAAACACATGGAAACAGAGTCACACAAAATGAGTGGAAGCAGCATGAAGGCAAAAGCAGAACTGTTTCTATGTGTTTCTGGAGATTTTCAGAAATAACAGAGAAAATAGAGACAAACAGAAATAATTACATTTACAGTTTCAAAGATGAAAGTTACCAGTAAACTGGAAATGTTTTGAATTCATGCAAGAAAAGCTGAAAGACTGGTCTCTACTGCCCCATAGCGGCCACAACTGGAACTACATCCCTTAAATTCTCCCCTCCAGTGTGTTTGAATATGATTGCAATGCATTTAATACAATGATCTTTTTTCATTTTTACTGATTTATAAATATTGCAGCAGATGCCATAATTCAGGAGAAACCTGTTTGTTAAACTTATGGCAAAATAGACATTAAGAAGTCAAGAAGACTTTCTAATAAGTGCAACGGTTTTCACAGTTTGTCTTTGAACACGTCTTGATTTTTAAAATCAAACTGACTGAGTGAACACAGTCACTCATATAAACTGCTATTATAAAATATTTAATAGAATTTGTTAGAATAAACTGCTTGTTAAACCCTTTTAGTGGATCTAAAATATCATAGCATTTCTGTTTTTCTTTTTCTTTCATATAATATAAAAACTCCAAATTTCAGAAACTATTTTGTTTTAAAGATTTTGCTTTGAGTTTAGGAAACTGATGTTTCAAATAAAGCTCATGTAATAAAAGAAAAATCCTGCAGTTTCTGTTGGATGATGGAAAGTAGCAGCAAACTCCATGACATCATAATATCTAATTATGGCGATTAGAAAACGCAAAACAGGAAGAAAACTAATTTCTGCCTCCAGGTTAAAATCATTTTCTACCTTAAAAAGTTTGAATCTTTGAGTTGATGTTGCACTGAGTTAATCTGATCCTTTTTAGATTTGTCTCGCCCGTGTTTTGTTTTGTCTGTCGGTTGCTAGGGTAAGACACACACACACACACACACACACACACACACACACACACACACACACACACACACACACACACACACACACACACACACTCAGCAGCTGTAGGACCTCGTGGCTGCCCGGCCTGAATCACGTCGGCCTCCATGCAGCACACAGTCATGCTCTGCAAAGATAGCTTCACAGACGGGATGCATCACTCGGCCATAGTAACACAGGTAAACATGATGCACCCCCTTCATCCTCTTTTTAATAACTCAGCATGTTGGCACGCATGCAGGAAGTAAGTTTTGTGTGTGTGTGTGTGTTTCCTTCACAGTGTCTAGCAACCACACACACACACTCACACACACACTCATACACACACTCATACACACATGTTGGTCTCAAATTTCCGTTACATTTTCTTTCTCTAACGGTGAGTAACGGCTTCAGTCGGGCCGTTTGCTTCAGCAGATCGGAATCTGAGCCGGAGAGAAATCGAATGGGGGGCGGAGAGAGCGGGAGAGATAGAGAGACAGAGCATGGGGGCGATCAGAACCATGAGAGCGACCCAGAAGTTCTGCAGGATCTGAGAGATGCTGAGGGGAAGACGCAGGTCAGAACGGAGGGAGTGAAAACTTTGAGTCTGGTTTGATCGATTACATGGATTATCTATCAGATCCGGCGGTTCTGACCCCGATCCTGGTGGTGACCATTCACTTCATCACTGCAGCTGGGTTCTGGTTCTGCTGCCGCCGCCGGACCGCCAGAACCGAGCTAGGTAATGTCCAAAATCTCTGTGATTCACGGCGTTGTCTTCTACTTCAGTTCCATGTGCTTCCTGTTGAGGCTCCGCCCCTTTCTGCTCCGTCAGTCCTCTGTGTTTTAGATCTTTATTGGATTTTTCTGACCCGGTCCATGTGATCCGCTCTGGTTCTGCTTGGATCTGGTGTTTGTTCTTCTCCTTTTATGGGCTTGTGCTGCAGGATCTCCTGTTTGCTCCTGCAGGAGAAACGGCTTTTTATCCACACCGCAAAGATACAAAATCCTGCAAGTTTGTCATCTAGTTTCTAGTGAAAATAAGACAAACTAACTTAAAGTAACTTTTTAACAAGATGTAGAAGCTTGTTTTACACAAATAACTTAATATTGATGAAAACGTGCTAGTTTTAAGTAAGAAATGAATCTTAAAGCGATATCTGGATATTAGATTGCATGTAGAAGCTCTCTGAGATGACCTTGTAGATAAAGAAAAAAACTCAAGACATTTTTGAGAAAATGTTTTTTCGACACTCAAACTGGACCTGAAGCTGCTTTAAATTTCTCTTTATCTAACCATAGAAACCATATTCATTGTGTGAGGTTTTGGGAACTGGTTCTGTTGGACCTTTGGCTGCTTGTTAAAGGGAACAGAAGAACTGCTGGAAGAGTCAAAGTGCGATCAGATGAGACATTTTGGCTCCGGTTCGGCAGCAGAGGGAGACCCGAGGTGACGCAACAGGCCAGATCAATAATTCTGATCGGTAATCAGGGCAGCGGGTGCTGCAGGGACAGGAGGTGGCGGTCAGAGAGGACGGGTCCGGTCCGGTCCGGTCCTGATGGTAGATTGGATCAGACTCTCTGTTTACTGAAACTGTTTAATGAGGAGAATCCAGCTGGAGGAAGGAGGCGGGGCCAAACCTACGGAACAACAACAGAGGAAAAATATTTACAGTTAGATTTTATTCACTGGTCCACTGAATAAAACATCATTTTATCAGTCCATCTCTCTCTCCTCTCTTTCTCTCTCTGATCTCTGTAGATATTTTGTTCCCAGATCATATAGTGAATATTTTGCTCTAATCTTCAGAAACCTGTAGAAAGTTCTGGGTGCTGCTGAACTGGATCCCAGTAAACTATGGATGCTTGGCAGGAATCGGGACTGGAATCGTCTGACCTGATCAGCAGCTGTAACATCTGGCTCATTAGCACATCATTAAGCTGCTGTGTGATCATTTACATCCTACAGAAATCAAAACATAATGTACCTGGATTATGTAGTTATGAAGCAGCTCCATCACGGCTGGAAATAAACCTCATGTATGAATCACTTAAACAAGCAGGATTTCTACATTAGTGTTTAGTTTTTTGAGGCGTTGCTGGGGGTTCGCAGATGTTGGGTTTTGGGCTCAGGGTTCTGGATGAGCTGTGGTTTCATTCTGGTGTGGTTCTGGTCTTATTTTACCCATCACAGGAAATGAAACCTGGCTGCGGAGCGTTCAGGGTGTGGAGCGTTATGCGCTGCTGGCTCGTTGTGGTAAATGGTTTCATTCACAGTCATTCAAGGTTCAGCTGATTAACATACAGATAGCTGATTAAAGCCCCACGGTTTGAAACTTATTCAGTTAATGTCACCAGGTATTAAATTCATGTAGAGACAGAAATGCTGAGAACATTTCAAATGTCTTATAATTATCTTTTAATAGGAAACATTTGGTCCTAACTTATAACAAAAAGCTGACTGAGCCTCCTCACCCTAATGCATTTTATTTTACCTACAGTTTTGACCTGTTTATGCTGATTTTAGTTCATTTTGATTTGTGATTAAAAACCGTAACAGATCAATTTTTAATGTTTCTCGGCCAGTTGTCCTTTCTACTGGAGCCTTCAGTGTCCATCTGCTAACAGCAATGAAGCCGCTTCTCTGGTTGCGCTGAGCGTTGATTTCTGCTTCCAAACGACGTGTCCGTGTTCACCATCCCCTGATACAGGGTCAACAACGGCACAGAAAAAGACGATTGTGGTGCTGAAAGCAGTTGTACTGAGAAACAGGAACTTTTTCTGTTTCTCTTTGTGTCAAATACTCATAAGTGGTTAAATGAAAAATCAGCAGAATGTTACACTTTTTTTATCCTATTAATCAATTAGTTATCAGAAAAATATATGGGGTAATCGATTACTAAAGTAATCTTCTGTTCAAGTTACTTGAACAGAAGAAAGTGAGTGAGTTAATTTGCTTTGCACTTCTAGATCAAAGTTCATTAATGATTGAATTATTGGACATACTTTTTACTGATCACATGTCTATCATATATTCTTATAGATTTATTGTCCAGTCCTGGCTTGTTTGCGGTTGCTCTGAACGTCCCTCCCACTCAGATTGCTAATCTAATCACAGGCAGGAAGATGACGGAGGGAGATTAGAGGTGAAAACTGGAGGGAGAGAGGGATGAGCGCGTCCCGAAGAATAAGAGGCGTAAGCGCCAGCGGGTATTTTTAGTCCCTAGGAGACGATTCACTCAGGCAGGAACACAGGAATCACCTGGAAAGAAGAAAAGCTTGGAGAGGAAGGTGTTGTTGTCTGACCTGGTCAGGTGTTGCTTTACCTGGAAGATCCAAACATTATTTAAGAAATTAACTTTTACAGACAGCAAACCTACTTTCTAGGTCCTGTCTACTTTTTGGGGGGAGGGGGATGAGCTGCATCTGTTTTCTCTACCAGCTTTGATTAAATCATGATGAAGCTGAAGTCGTCTCAGATTACAGGCCTTTTCCCTCAGAAACCACTCAGATAACCCCAGAAGAAACAATGCCGGGACCTTCAGAGATGTGAAAACCAGCAGCTGTAAAGGAGGAAAGCAAATGACCCGAGTCTGGATTGTGTCAGCTCTATTAGGAGGAGTTTGTGTTGCTGTTGCAGAGCGAGGAAGCCGTTCATTTGAGCGGCTGATCTGAGAACGATTACATCATCTGTTTGGTTCCACTTCAAACCCCCCGATGTAAAAATGTGGATTTACTGGAAAAACAAGAAGCATTCCTGGCAACAAGAAACAAAAGGGATTTGACAGCAAGAAAGTGGAGCAAAGATAGACGGAGAGCAAGTGTGAGAGCGGTGAGGAAGTCGAGCCGCTGTGGGGGATTTACCGGGGAGGAGCCTCTCTTCACTTTGACACTCACACGTGGGACAGCAACTGCTGCTGGCGCCGCAAAGGGACAGAAAACGGCGTTCGGCCGGACGGCCCGACATGGCAGCTGCTGCAGGGACCCAGGACGGCTGAGAACCGACGGATCAAACCGCAGCAGAGGAAGAGGAGAGGCGGTGTTCCTTCAAACTGGTCCTACCTGCCTTCACTTCACTCTGACGTCTGGCTGCTAAAATTATCTGACTCCTGCTGTGGATTATGAGAACCTGATCCGATCCGATCCGGACCGGGCAGCATGTGGCCCGACTACAGGAGCGAGAGCCTCCTGAACGCTCACCTTTACTCGCTCATGTGTTGTGCAGGTCAGTAGGTTCCTGCGGCGTGCGTTTGTTTGCAGAGTGACTCCATGTCTGAGCAGATCTGGAGCAATCGCGGCGGCTCTGGGAGTTGTTGTGGTTCCACCGCGTGAGGTGGGTGTGTTCATGCCAACAAAGCTCTGCTGTGTGGATGAGTCAGAGGCTGTCACTCATGTCCCCTCTCAGATAAACCTGACTATAAGAAGATACTTTCAGGATTTTTAACTCTGATCAAGTTTTCTCTACCCTGGTTCATTGGTTTCTGACCCTGATCTGCTGCTTTCTGACCCCAAAACTATTTAACTCTTGACTGAAAGTTTCTGATCAGCTGTTTTCTCATTCCTGATCAGAGCAGAAGTGTTGACTTGTTCAACATGTGAATCTGAAGCGTTTCCTCCGGCTGAACTGACTCAGCTTGACCGACAGGTTTGGGAATCGAGGTGTGTTCCAGGGCTGAGCACATTTTGCAAGAGTGTGTTGAAATATTTGCTCTTCCCCTCTGAGTGAACCCCTCCGCTGTCGGTCTGTCGGCGCCGGTTCCTGCTGCTCGCTCCGTTTCTGATTTCTGGAAGCGTTTCCAGCTTTCGGAGCTCGACAGACGAAGTCGTTGGCTGTGTTGAGCAAATATTTGTGTTTTTTCTCTGTTGGTGTGAAAGAGAAAGACGAGACGTTTCAAGGAGGAAGTGATGCTCTCCTCACCATGGCAACCGTACACAGGAGGCAGCTGATTGGCTGAAAATGGATCTGCTGAAATGACTGGAGGGAAAAACCATCCATCAGACTCAATCTTCATTATTCAATCTCATAAAATCTGCTGCTCTTCAAGCTTTTTTTAATCATAAATGTTATTTGGAGGGTGGACAAGTAGAGACGAATACAAGCAGAGGAAAGATAACAAAGCAGTGGCTGAACATCAGCCTCTATTCCTGGCGTTGCTGCCTCACTCCTCTGGCCTCCGACTGGGTGGAGAGAAAAGCCTGGAGTTAAACCAGCAAGGGGAAAATCTGGGATTCTTTAAGGTTGGAGTTTGATGTAGCGCAAATAAAACACCTTGCGATCAGAAAAGTTGTGAAAACATACAAAACAGGCCAGCTGGTACTAAAACTGTTCTTCTTTTTGTTTTTTGCCAAAACCTGATAAATTGGGAACATGAATCACTCTGGATGTGAACAAAACTTTAATCCTGTTTTATAAACAGGTGAGCGATAAGTTAATCATGACAACGGAAACTGGGAGAGTTTTCAGCTCTTTGGTTCTTTAAGGTTGTTTAACTATGAAACAGCCAATTTAAACTGCACAGTTTACTTTCTTTAGTTTAAGAACTCTTTCTTTACCTCAACAACCAAAATGGAAATATTTTATCTGAAACTTGTCAGGAGTTTGACTCAGACTGAGTTAAAAACAGTTTATCAGGAACACTTTTACCAGAATGTCTGGCTGCGTTTAAACACATCACTTCTGGACTAAGACTTTTGCACAGCTCAACACTTTAAATGATAAATCTGATCAATAACATAAATCAATTAAAATATTCTTTATTTACCTCAAAAGGAAATAAGATGTTGTAACTCGTATTATACAAGCATCTTCAAAGAATCGTGGATGGATCTCCAGTAGCAGTCAGTCTTGCAGCCAATATGAAGCGGCCTCTGACTGAAGACTGTTGCTATGGAACAGTCTCATGTCTGTCTAAGCAGTGACACCATCAGTTGTTTGGCTCTGCTAATCCACCTCATTTTCTTTTGACGCTTCTCTAAGTGTTTGTATTTCCATTGGTTAGGAAGATGTGAAGTAGAGGATAAGATCCTGCAGCCGTCCTCCTTTGAGAGACGTGGAATAATCAGATTGGGTTTTTTGGGGGACTTGAAGTTCATCTATATATCATTTTTGCCAAATAACTCCTGTTTCCCGTTATGAGGGATGGAAGAGATGATTTAATTTCCTCCTTCTCTATTCAGCTCGTCTGGGATCTCGGGTCACAGTTCAGACGTTGTTTGAGCTTTTGAGATGCTAATCAGCTTCTCCCAGTTCTAAAACCGATACGCTGTTGGCACGGTTACACGTGATAAATGTCTAAACTGTTTCTGCTGTGAATCTTGTTTTTTTGTTTTTGATGATGTAATTAATTGCCCTCCATCCTGTCTTCCTCTCTCAGATGAGCGGGACCGGGTGCAGAAGAAAACATTCACCAAATGGGTCAACAAGCATCTCATTAAGGTACGTTTTAACGAGCTCAGCTGGTCATTTGGGTTGTTTTTAAATCTAGATTTCAGTTTTCAGGGTCATAAATAAATCTGATCTACTTTCTAAAGGCTAAAGTCTTCCTGCTGCTCTACGGGTCGGGCTGAACAGAACTTTAGTTATCAGTTATTACATGTGTACCTCAGGGATGAACCCTTAGTCCCCTGTTCTTTTACATTTACTGCCCTCTCTCTGTCAGTTTGAGGTCGGGACTTTGACTAGGTCATTGCAAGACTGTGATTTATTTCTTTTTCAGTCATCTTCTTGTGGATAAGCTGCTTTTTTTAGGTTTAGTCCAAGTTTCAGCAGGTTTCCAGATCCTGTGGTTGTGTGCTAATCCATCATCATGCTTTTAGAGTACAAGTCTCTTTCTAACTGACCTGCCTTGACCTTTGCTCACTAAGGATGTTTTCCCACCTGGTAGTCTTTTAGTTTTGTTTTGATTGGGGACCAAAATTGCAATATTTTTTAAATTTTCAGCTGCTGTGGTTTTCTTTCACAGCAGATTGATAAACTCTCTGATAATCCTGTTCCCCTCCTCACCTGAGGGGGCGCTGCTTCATGAACCACTGAAGGAAGCAGAAGAGGACACTGAGCCCAACATCCTTAATCACAAAATGTGGACAAAAATGGAGAGGCATCAGATCTTAGTCAGACCTCGAGACATTTCTCCCAATAGAACCAGACTCTCCCGTTTGTTTTGCTTGTGTTTACCCAGAATGCACTGCGCGGTAGTCTGTTATGTGATTGATCCGATCAGAGACCAGTGAGAACAAACTGGCAGTCGTTCTCTGTGGGAAGGAGACATTTCTTATCGAAGGAAAACGTTGCTTTCCTTGTTGAATGGCGCCGGAAAGATTTTGTCTCCATCTGATAGGATGACAGCCGTCTGATGGCCAACGATGACAAATGATGAACTATCACAAAACCCTGCAAATACTTTACAAATATTTTGACTCGGATAAAAAGTTTACATATATTTCAAGGATAAAACAATGTGTTTGTGTTTCAGGACTGCATAAAAATGAGTCACATCATCCATTAAATGCAAATTCAAACTGATTTCAAAGTTCAGCTAAAGATAGATAAATGAAAACTAGGATTTTTTTTATGGTTCCTGACCTGGAAGAATTCAGCTTTTGATGTAAAACTGCTGATAAATAAGCCATGCATGTGGTTTTGTTGCAGTCTGTTGGGTTTGCAGTCAAACCCAACAGACATGAGAAAAAAACAGAAGCGACCGACTTCAAGAGCATGTCGCATTAAAACATGCATTTAAACACAGTAGCATCCACGGCGAGAGAAGAAACAACGTCCAGAGAAACTGCATTGAAATCTGAATTATTACTGCTGAACTGTAAGCAAACCGTTTATCAGGGCTAGTTGGTCATTGCCGATCTTCAAGTTTTTCCTTAAACTAGAGATAAATATGGAAAAATCATTCCAGGGTAACTGATTTGGCTGCAGCGGGTCACTGCGCCGCTTTCAGGGTTGAAGAAAAAACCCTCAGAAGCAGAAAAAGAAAAAGACAGGAACCTAAGGAAGGTTACGTTGAATGCATTTTTAGTTGAGGCCTGTGAAAATGACCCTGAAGTTAACAAATGCTTTATTTAAAGGATAGTAATGTAGTTAATTCACTATCATCACTTTAAAAAAAGAAAGAGGAAAACCTGCATTAATCATCAATTTGGGATAATTTTTTGACAAGGTCATAATGAACGTAAAAAACTTTCTCTATTTTTAAATTTTAGACTCTTAATCATGACTGAAAAGAAACGTGGAAGTGATTTTTCTTGTTTCTTCACCTCAACTCAAACATTTCCTTGTCGTCCGTTGAGTCCAGTCACTTGACGTGTCGCAGCGCCAGGAGAATTCTGGGTATTTGTCACATGACCCCATAACTCTGGAGCAACTGTCATCACAGCGGGCCGGTCCAGCCCGGTAACGCAACCCGGAATCTGCTGGCAGAGCTGGACACTGTTTGGAAATCTAGGTCAGGGATGGAAGATGAGAGAAATCAGCTTCATTTCTGGATTTATTCTTCTGTCAGCTTCAGGCTGTGAAGCAACTTTAAAAAGCTTTGAGTTTTTTTTAAATCAAACTAAAATCACAGGTTGTTAAGAAACAAAGTAGTTTGGACAAGACTGAAATGATTAATTGAATTAATCCAATTAATCGTAAAGACTCAATAAAAATTGTCAGCTAAATTATTATTTGATTGTTAACTGGAGTATAGAGACTTTAAAAAATAACCAGAGCAGAAACTAAGCCAAAACTGCAGAAAAAATAAAAACATTTTGAATTTAAGACTTAAATAAACCTTCTTTGTCTGTAAATCTCTTCATCCAAAGCTCCTCAGGTGACAGATAAAAAAAAAAATCTCATAATAAGCAGCTTCTGCAATCCAACTATTAGTTGCATAATCCCCAAAAACCCAGATCAGTCCGACGCTGTGTTGATGTCAAGTCAAGCAGAAAAGCCTGAGCTTTTCATATTATTGAATTATGTTTTTGGCTGCAGATGCATCCTTTGCTATGAAGGGTCAAGTGTTCACTAAAGTAATATTATTGCATTTTAATCAATAAAATGTTCACCTTTTAAAATAAAAAAGAAATGTATCTCCATCTTTTAATGTATTGATATTTTATTAAAAAAGCTAAAGTGGTTAAATGAAGAATCTGAACATTTTGTTACCAGATCAATCATCAGAATAATCAGTCCAGTAATTGATTATTGAGGTAATTGCTTGTTGCTACCTTAGTTTGGAGATTTTTCTGATATTTAATTCAAGCTTTGCAGCTGTGACAAATAAAACACGTGCAGAAAATTGACGATTTTAGGTTTAGAGATTCAGCTGAAGAAATAAGGCAAACAAAAAGAATCATGTTAAAGTTTCTTTATCGTTTGTTTAAGAATGTGGTGAGAAAATGTTTGAATCCTAAAGCTGATCATATTTTCATCTCATATATTCTGCTGCTTGTTGCACAAATCTGTCAGCTCTCAGAGCGAAAACCAGCAGCTTCTCATCAAGAATGGAAAAGCAAAACCAAACATAAAGCATAGAAATACTGAAGGAGAAAAGTCAGAGAAAGAAAAGAGAAAACAAAGCCGTGAGTGGCGTCCGTCTTCAGCTTCCCATAGCGTGACATCACAGCTCCTGGTTTCCTGTTTGCTTTGCGTCTGCAGTCTGGAATGCCGTAGCTGCTCAGGTGTGCAGGGTGTCAACAGGTGTGTTTGTACATGAGCCTGAATAAACAGCAGCTACCTGCAGGCATGCAGGAATTCACTTTGACCCTGTTAAACAGGGAGTCCATGTTTCAGACCGGCGGCGCAGCTTTTAGGACAATTCACATTTTTCTGTGCAGTTATTTCTCGATACCATCTTTAAAATTTCACCATGTGGACTATAGAGCTGTAGCTTTCATTCATCACTTAAGATTATTATACAATATGAGAAATATGCAATTTAATAAATAAATCAATCGGTCAATAAAATAAGAAAATAAGTATTTTATTGCCTAAAATGCAATAACAGAAATCTTTTAGTGAACACTTAATTATTTTTTGATCCATCTGCAGATTAGTTAAATACATCCAACATCAACATGTGGAAAGCTCAGCGCTTTCAGCTGGCTTGGCATCAACACTGCTGATCTGTTCATTTTTTATATTAACCAATTAATAATCAGTTATCAATAAGTGCTTAATAGGAGATGCATTTACTTTTTAAAAGAATTTGAACCAGTTGAAACTAAAATGGGTTGAACATATTTACAGTGTTTTTTCTGAAATACAAAATGTTTATATTTTTGATTGTGGCTTAATTACTGTCCTAAATGTGCTATTATTTCAGCAAATACCATTTTTCAGTCTGCAAACTCCAGGTAACGATTACTTGATTACTAAATTAGTTGGTTATGTCAACTAATTTGTATGTTTTATACACAGAGTATAAAGTATAGTTTTTAAATTTTGACTTTTGTGCAGAAATAGTCAGAGTTGAAAGATTTTGCCAGAAATTTGCAGAAAGCAGCTGCAGAAATGTAAACAATCTGGTTCAATACTTGAACTAAAGTAGAAAGTTCATTGTTTGGTTTGTTGGGATCAGTTGGGATCAAGCGGGTTGCTGTCTCCCATGGCAACCTGCTGTGGGTTGAAAGGTCGTCCCAGGACAAGCCGGCCTTCCTGATCAGCTTAGCCGACCGTTTCCTCTCAGCTGATTCGCTGCAGCTCCTGCAGACCCTCCAGGATCCAGACATGGGAAATTTATGACCTTCAGGTCAACTCCTGACCTTCAGACAACAAGAAGAAGCAAATTAAAACATGAAAATGTCTGAATTCTGATTGAAAGGCCAAGTATACTGCTTTTATTTTGAAAGGCGAAGTACTGTTGGCGCCCCGATGCATTAATAATAATGATATTAATAATGATAATAATGCAGTGGACAGATGGAGGGATGAAATAATGCATTGAGCTTCAAGCTAACATTTTATTAAAAGCCCAAATTTGAAACATTTTATTTACAGATATTTTAAACACAAAATAAAACTTCTCTCTCTGAAATTAAATCAGAATAAAATGTTCTTATTTTAGGTCTTTTAGAATTGCAAAAATTATTTTAATTTTCTAAATGTCAGAAAACTTGGCGAGAATTTAAACAGGGTGTTAATTTACTGTATCCGGATTTGTTTGGCTTGTTTCAATGTAATGAACATTTAATACTTAAATGGCTCAATAACTTATTGATCATTGAGCTACATATCCTGCAAATCCTCCAATATTTTTACAACATTATTGAAACTTTGGGATTCTTAGTTAAATAATGTTTTTGGACCAGTCAGCTGTGGGGTGAGAGACACATTCTCATAAAATGTGTCAGTTTTCTTTGTTCCTGCTGTTGGGTGTTTGTTGCATAATCCTTAATTGAAATGTTCTATTTTCTGTTTGTTTGTATTGTTTTTATCTTCCAAGTTGCTGGAAAAGTTTAAAAACTTACTTTTAAAATGCCTGAACTTCATTGTTTGAAAAATGGTTTGAATGAAACTCCCAGTTAGATTGACTGGAAACGAGACACTGCCCCAGTTAAACCCAGTTAGATAACAAGGTTTCCTCATTTCCAGGCAGCTTCACTTCTTCCTGTCCTCTAATTAACAGCCAGTCCAGAAACAGATAGATGATGATGACTCAGAGGAGAGAATCAGCCTGTAATATTTCTGCTGCTTCATCATTTTCATCACATAATGATGTGAGAGCAACATTTCAACTTTGTCCTGTGAATCTGCTGCTCCCTGCTGGTGATGTTAGGCATTGCAGTTCATCGTTTTAAAGCCAGATTCCTCCTCGCTCTGCTGAATACAAACTAGAAATCATTATTATTGGCTGTCCAGTGACTTTCTCTGTGCCCTGATGCTTTTTTTGCAGATAATTTCTGGTTCTCCAGTTAATGATGAATCTTTCTAAATTAATGGACATTTACTTGAATAGTCGATTAATCATGCCAGTCTAAAGGGTTCAGGGTTTCTTTGATGTTTTTGTCTTATCAAATTAGATCAGCTTTAGTTGCTGAGTCATGGTGAAAAGCCGCCTCCTCCCTTCGTTTGACATTGACGAGAGGTCACAGCTGGTTCCTCATCTGTTGGCATGGCAACCGCCTCCAGCAGCGGCGGTTCAGGTGGCTGCGTAACCTTTCTGTGTCTCTGTCGCCCAGGTGAGGAAGCACATCACAGACCTGTATGAGGACCTGAGGGACGGACACAACCTCATCTCCCTGCTGGAGGTCCTCTCTGGAGTCACTCTGGTAGGAAAACAGCTTCATGTTTCTGTTAACTCCTGTCAGGCTCTGCAGCACAAACACTGTGGCTTGAAAATGGGTTTGGGTGCCGCAGGACGGGTGACGGGTCGGTTTAAGTCATCCAGACGAACACGGACTGACTGCTGACTGTGTTCTTCCAGAGGGACGGATCCACATAACAGAACCTGACAGTTTCAGATCAGACAGAGCGAAGTGGCTTCAAAACAAACACCACTTCACATTTGTCATTAGTAACTTTATTGTTCTAAACAGAAGGTACTAATGATAGAAAATATGTTCATAAAGTTTCTTTTACTTCAGTTTTCCCTTCTGTAAGTTGTATGATGGAGTATGACAGACAGGCTGTGAGGAATTTTGTTTCATTATGAGAAAATGATAATAATATGAGTAGAATGAAGATGCACCTTTATCAATAAGGCATTTTGTAAAGTATAACTTCACAAAATTTCTGGTAATACGATGACACTGTGCAATGTTCTTGCATTATTTTAGCTTTATTATCATTGTCTTGTAACTATGACACTATTCTCATAATATTATGATTTTATAGTCATAATTTTTTAAAAAAAATTTAGTTTCTCCCTAATATTCTGTCACAGAGTTGACCTGAATTCAAAGTCCAAATAAATAGAAGCACTGAAACGTGGCTGTCGAACAAGATGGCCGCTGTGGGCGCGCTGACATCACCCTGAACTAAGGCAAACAAAATGATTATAAACAAGTAAAACGTTCTAAAAAATAGATGTTAATCTATCAGTAAACTGAGATCTCTGGATCCGTCATCAGGTCATGTCCACCTGTTGCATCTTTCATCTGTCCTCTGTCCTCTGCTCTGTTCATTTCATTCCCATTACTGTAGCAACAGAAGGGCGGCTTTGCCTCGAAAAGGGCTTATGTCTCTCGAGCGCCGCCTCTCATCTCGCTCAAACGAGAGGAGGAGGAAGATGATGAAGAGGAGGATGAGGAAGGAACTCAGGGAGTACGTGCCGATCAGTTCCACCCTCCGCCCTGCAGGGGGAGCTGTGCATGAGCGTGCTGTGGCACAGGTCCAACTAAACCCAGCTGCACAAGTCTGAGATTTGCATGAATCACATGACGAACAATGGCGCCCCCATGGGGTGGATACGGGGGGCCATGGCCCCCTCTAAAAATGCCAACCTCAGAAAATCATGTTCACGTCATAGAAAGGCGTTCACGTCATAGAAAGGCATTCAGTCACCTTCCTGAATGAAGGCATAAATACAAAACACAACTAATAATTAACATTTTAATCTGCATTTTTAGGCCTTCAATTTCTAAACCAAGACCAAAAAATTACAAGATCAGCAAAATGAAGAAAAATGAACAATTTATGATGATATGTCAAGATCAGACAAATGAGACTGGAAAAACAAAAACTATTTCATTAATGTATGTAACAAATAAAATTTGACCAAATTTTATCAACGAAAGTATTATGGTGTACAACAAAAATGGAGAAAAAGCAACATTTTTCCTCTTCCTGTTTATTAATCCTGAATGTGCTCACATCTGCATCCTGCACTCCAGTTTGTGTGATTTTCTTCTTTTTCCTTTAACTAAAATTTTATTCAGAATGACGGGAAAGTTTGCAGACAGATGATGAAAACTGACAGAGTGAAAGTTTACAGTTTAAAAGCGTTTTTAACAGCCAGTTATGAGGACGGCGCCCCCTGGAGGATTGTTTAATCGTTTTGACTCCTCAGCATGGACTTTAATCACTTTAATTGTTCCTTGAGATGTTTTTTGTTCTGATGTTTGATCCGTTTTGTTTCAGCCCAGAGAAAAGGGACGGATGAGATTTCATCGACTGCAGAATGTTCAGATAGCGTTGGACTTCCTCAAACAAAGACAGGTAACGGTTCCCATGTAACTCAACATGGCCGCCGTTTGCCAACATTTATTTAAAAAATTAAACTTTTCTTTTCTTTGATTACAGCTGGTTTTGTTTTGCATAATCAGAGCAGTTGGATCAGAACCAGCAGTTTTAGTTTATCTGAACCATCAGATTGTTCAGTTTTTCATTGATCTATTTTTTGTTGTATTTTAGGTCAAACTGGTGAACATCCGGAACGATGACATCACTGATGGGAACCCAAAGCTGACGTTAGGACTCATCTGGACCATTATCCTCCACTTCCAGGTCTGAGCTGCTGACATGGAGCCTCTGGCTTGATCTAATTTCTGCGATGAAATGCTGTGTTTTGGAGAAACATGATGGAAAAAGTCAAAGTCTGAAATAGATTCCATGCAGATTGTGATCATCTTTTAAGGTTTTCTAAACGACAACAGCAGAAAAGTCTGGATGTTTGGAGGAACTCTCTTGATTAGTTTCTAGTCCCTATATATAGATTCTTCTGCTGGTTGGTGGTTCTGGATGCAGGAGCTTCCTGCTGTGTTTACCATCTGGTTGAGAGGAAGAAACGATTCACTTGCATCCGCTGCTGAATTTCTGCTCCTTTCTGCTCCATTCAAAGAAATCATGACTTCCAGTCAGATGGTGATGTTGTACTGAATGAAACTGCAGCGGTTCCTCTTCATCCCACACTGCAAAAACACAAAATCTTACCAAGAATCTAGTTTATAGTTGAAATATCAGTTCACTTGAAATGAGACAAAACTAACTTACTTTCAAGCAACATATAGAGCTTGATTTAAGTAAACAATTCTTGAATATTTCAAAAAGTAAGTTGTCTTTTCATGATTATTTAATCCCAAATACTCCATGCATTTTTTATTCTAATTGGACTTTTCTGTCAGGGTAAACTTTGACTCACATCTTCATGTGACTCGAGACGGTTGAGGCTACCGCTAACTAGCTGCTAATATGCACTTGCTAACTAACTAGCTTTTTCATAATTGGGCCATGACAGCAAGACGAAAAGGACGACATTTCTATCAAAAAAACAGAAATCTTGAGCTCCATCTCAGAAATTTTCTAGACAAAATAAGGAAATTTGAGTTTGAAAAGTCAAAAAAATTGTTAGAAAAAAGTCAGACTTTGAAACTCAAATGTCATTATTTTTTTGAGAAAATTTCTGAAGTTAATCTCAAAATTTCTGAGTCTTTTGGAGGAAATGTACTAGAAATGTTTTTCTGTCCTACATTTTCTAAAAATGTGTCTCCATTTTGCTGGATGATATTCAAACTTTCTATCATAATGGTTTCAAAAAGTCTTACATTTGCATTGGTGAAAGCTGCAGAAACCCTGATCTCCTCGTTTCTCCTGTAAAATCTGCTGGGTTCTGCTTCTGGTTCTGGTTCCAGGTGAGATGAGGAGGCTTTGATCAGAGCTACAAGAAGAGTTAAAAATAAAGATGTGGAGCAGACGCTGCTCTGGATTTGGGCTCCAGCTGCTTGGAGGTCGAGGTGATTGATGCGTGAAGCTGCTGCTGCTGCTGCTGCTGCTACTCTGAAGGTTTCGCTGGTTTTTCTCGTTGCCATGTCGTGACGCTGCAAGTGACTGCAGATACTCTCCATCGCTCTCGGTCATGTGATGCGGCACTTGGCAAGGTGATGCTGCCATCTGGTTACTACGGAAACCGTTGTGTAGCTGCTGCTCTGGGGCATGACTCAGCAGTTTGATGAAGAGATTAAAGGAGGTTTAAAGGTGATGATGGAGGATTACAGGACGAGTTCAGAGGTTCCTCCCTTTCTGCTCAGAACCAAAACAATACAAAGAAATACTCTTTACTTTTGTTGTTCTAGTCAACCTCATGCTCAAGTTTCTGATTCAAATCCTGGAATAGAAACCTTCATCATCTGGACCCTCAGCAGAAACCAAATAGGAGTTTTGACCTGTTTGTCCTGATTTATACAACCCAGCCTGCAGTTACTCTGCATCGCCACAAGGTGTCACCATTTAGGTGAACATGTCGGCCTCCTCCAGCCCTGCTGCCCTGTGGCTGCTTCTGATTGGCCAGCCAGGCTGTTTGTCACATTCAGTCCCTCCAATCAGCTGCTAAGCTGCTCATCACTGCTGGATGTTGTTGTAAATAATTTGTAATACATTAAAGACATTCTTTTAGATGTTTAAAACTAAGCTAAACAAAATGTAAATATATAAAATATGTTCCAGGCCTCATTATTAAGGAATGAATTTATGAAAACCACATAATTTCAGTGAAATTCTAAATATTTGTATTATTTTATGCCTCCCAACATAATAAGATAAAGATTTTACTGTTCCACACACAAACGATTTCACCAATCCAGTCTATTTCTTGTGGAGCTGGAAATTTCAAAAAATATAAAAATGCTTACATTTATAGAGCTAAATAATAAGTTGATCACTTTCTGTGATGATATTGGAGTCACCCAGATTTCGATCAGATTGATCAATTGGTCCATTTTCAGCAGAACTATCAAGATCTTCAGGTTTCTGCAAGTGTGCAATGATGATCAATGTTAGACACACAAAGAAAAATATGTTTGGAAATCCAAGCAGAGACATTGAAGTAGGGGCTAAGACGCTGCATCCTCCTCCTCATCCTCTGGGATTTGGTGATGTAGTTCAGGTGTTATTTGATGTTTCATGCTAATCAGCTGCTCCCAGTTGTGAAAACAATGCCTTCTTTCCCAGCCCTACATCCAGTCTCCACATCTTTACTCGGCACAGAATCACATCATGGAGCCGGTGGTGGGTGGGAACCCTACAGAGGATTAAAGCTGGCGCATGACAGGGTGGAGTCTGACCTCAAGCCATTTTAGATGGATAAAATGTCCATAAATCCTGGAATAATTCAGATACTGGGTTTTGCTTGAAACTGTCTAAATTTTGTCTAAAAACACTAACATGACTCCAGTTTCCAAGCACAAAACTCTGAGGATGCCGTTTCACTTCTTCTGGTGTAAGGCTGAAACGATTAATCAAATTAGTTGTGATCAATCAGTTATTGAAGTTATCTTCAACTAATTTAGTAACTGATGATTAACTGCAGACTTGAAAAATGCTACTTACAAAAGAAACAACATACTTAGAGCAGAAATTAAGCTAAAACTGTACAAGAAAATATATGCATTTTACTTTTAAGATTAAAAAAAAAACACTGAAGGAATGCTTATCACATTTCAGAAAAAAATTATTTTTATTATTTTAAGAAAATAAAATTAAAAACTTTTTTGCATATTTTTAATGTATTTCTAATGTAGAATAAAAAGGCTTACATGAAGCCGCAAAGAAAGAAAGAAAAATATGCAAAGTTTTAGTGCGATTAGTTGATTAATTGTAACATTTGATTGAGTAATCGATTAATAAAATAAGCTTTAGTTGCAGCTCTACTCTGGTGTTTCACAGATTAATGTAGCTGCTTCATGCAAACCGCTCCAGAACTGCACATTACTATAGTTGTTCATTAATTGATTGAAACGTTTATCCTCAGTTTGCCGTTTTCTGTCTGTCGTCGTTCAGGGAAGCTTTTGGGTCAAGTGTGTGTTTGTAGCACAGAAAGCTGTTCCCTAACAGCTGAGAGAGGGAAAGAGAGAGAGGGGCGAGTGATGAGAAAGCGGATTGGTGGAGGAGGAGAGCCAGAGGATGGGAGGGGTGGGCTGGTGAGAGATCGAGCAGAGGAGAGAGTGAAGCTGCAGCAGCCAGCAGATAAAAGCTTTTTCTCTCCTTCTGCCGGCGTCTGCGAGCCGCGGATAAAACCGAGCTGTGCAGCCGGCAGAGGGAGCGGCGGATCCGGTCCGCCTGCCGCCGGATCGCCAGGCCTCAAACCACAGACAGGGACGGATCTGAGCTGATCGGAGGGACCGCCCAACAACGCAGGAACGCTCAGTGCTGTTCCAGCTCCAGCGTATCAATCGGATCGGCTTCTCTGAAGGTTTCGATTCAGCCAGAGACGCCTCCCGTCTTTGTTTCTGGGAGGACGCAACGTTTTAGTCTCTTCTGCGGTCCTACGTGATGCTCTGGACTATCCTTCACTGGACTCTGAATCTTCTTGGCTCTGCTCCAGATTCGCTGCACATCTGCACAAGAAGAAGCTAACTGATGACCAGAACTGCTTTCTGTTTCGACTTCCCAGCCCCGGAGTCCAGAGGCCTGTCCCTAATTAGGAAAAAACAGACTTGAGGAGTAATGAAGGGACTGTGGACGCGTTTTCGACATACTGATCCAAGTCCTGCCCTCGTCCTGCAAACTGTGTGGTTTTCCAGCTGTTGCATCGTCGCACTGCACCACCTGATGAGGAGACGGGGCTCCTGAGTTCCCAAGGGCTCCTAGCAAAATTTAAACTTTAAACCTCAGGGAATGAGACGGAGTGGAGAGTCTTGTGATCCCAGCTTTTCAGAACTGCAATGTCATATTCAGACTTTTAATTGCCGCCACACTGAGGATAAAAACATGTGTCAGAGGAGCCAAATCATCACAGGAGAAAGCTCCTGAATGTCCGGGATTAGACGTGAGGAGCAGTGTAAATCTGACCGAGTCTTTAGTAAGCTGTCAGAGTATTGGCTGGACTTCCTGCAATCTGTGGCTCCCTCTGTCACACACATCCAGACTGCAGGACGTGCAGCAGGAATACCACGGGAAGACTCTAGATATACTGATCTCTCTTCTTCTCTGCTGCATTAACATTACCACAGCGTGGTCTGTGGATCATTAATTCATGAGCTTAGAAAGAGCTCTGGGAACCCTTCATTCTGGTTCTGTTGATCGGAATGAAATGAGAGCAGATCAGAAGATTTTCTCTCCTTGGGATATAACTGTCTTCAGTTTTCCTGGGACTTTTAATGACTGATGGAAGATGAGACTAGAAAACAAGTTGACATTCGTTTCTTTGGCTCTGTATTGAAGGCGGGGCGGCTGGAGAATCCCAGATGGGATGACAGCAACTCTGATGTGTTGCCTTAAACTCGCTGCCAATAAAGTCCTGAGTCCTAAGCTAGACTGAGTTGATCTTTCACCAGACAAATGAACTGGAGAACATACTTCCTGGATCGATATTGGAAGGTAGTAAAAACCAGCCTCTCGTTCTACTCTTTGCTTCATCTGAAGGTCTGGGCTCTCGGCTATTGAGCGACAAATGCTTCCTAAAGGTGTGGACTCTGAAGTTTTAGTCTTTTGCTTGCGACATATGTGATGTGCCAGTTCATCGCAGTGAAGCTTACCAAGAAGTGCCGAGCTGAAGAAGATGGCTGTTCATGTCTGAACTGCTTCACTCAGACATTTCACTGCCATTGCTAAAACTACAAATAGTGCAGAAAAATCCTTCTGTTCACTGACTGGCCCGGTTGAATCCAACTCGGTGGGAGAAAGTCCGGACTGCACTGTGAAGCAAGATTTGAATCGAGAGGAATAGCGCAGGAAGGCAATGGCCAGACCTTAGAGGTTGGTCTTTCACCAGCTTCCCATTTCGCTGCATTCATTCATCAGAGACATGGGGAATTCAATGGGTTGCGTTCGGCCTCTTCGGGAGGGCGATCCGGACGGCGCACCCACCCTGACACCAAAGAAACGTCTTCGCTTCAGGCGTAAGCAGAAGAGTAATAAGAACCGGAGGGCTGGGGAGGAGAAACGGACCCGCGTCCATGAGTCCGGCGAGGTCGACCAGGTGAAGGAGAAAGCGCCTGAAGGTGTGGAGTGTAGCAGAACAGTGCCTGAATCCCATTTAAGCCATTCCAGAACCGATCCACACAGCAATACTCTGTCTCCCGGCTCTACGGGCGGACTGTTGAGCAGCCGAATACTCGAAGCCACTCCGAAACCCAGTCCAGCCTGGAGAGGAGTCTTCTGCCTTCCTGGGGAGGAAGACACGGTCAGCGCCATCATCGACGTCTCCAGCATCCCGAGCCAAACCACCCCGGTCAACACGGCGCCGGCCCTGGGCAGCACCACTCCAGGAGGAGGCAGGGTCTGTCGGGTTAGGGAGAAAGTTCAAGGCATTCTGGAAAAACCTTGGATTCACAAAAGGGAAGAGGACAAGGAGAAAGCGATTAAGGATGCAGGGGGAAACAGGCTGAAGCCGGCAGTAAAGGAGCATAAAGGTGTAGTCCACATCCGAGAGGTGGATGGGAAGCTCTGCGTGGTGCGGACGGTCTACCCCAGCGATCTGGGCTCCCCGCTGCGGAGGGACAATGAGGTGGATGTTCATGAAGAACCTCCGGCACCATCACCCATCGCAGGAAACATCCTGAAAGTTAAGCTGGTAGAACCAGCATCTGATTCCCCGACATCTTCCGGCCATTTGCACATCCAGGACGCCATGAAAGCTTCGTCTCTTTTCGAGTCGGGCTACTCCAGCGATCTTCCTCTGATGTCTCCGGAAACGGCAGGCACCTCTCCCAGTCAGACGGACTGGGGAGTCCTGACCAGCAGCTCGTCTGAGAAACTGGACTCTACCCTGGAGAGTCCGCTGGCGCCGCAGAAACAGGCGGCTTCGAAGCTCTTGCCGCAGGTCTGTGTCCTTAAAAAGTTAACCGAATCAAACCGTCCAACATTTCTGGAACTGACCTCACGTTTTAATGTTTATTAAGGTGTAATTCGTATCCAAACTATTAAAATAGGCATTTTTAGAGGGAAACTCAAAGATTTTAGCCTTTGTGGGCATTTGTGGTCCTTACCTAATACTGAAGATTTACTGTGAAACCTATAGCTTTATTTCATACAGATTTTTCTTTTTTGCAGTGAAGTGTGTTCTGTTGCTGATAAATCCAAAGTTTGCTGAATAATCATCCAACCTTGGATGAAAAGCTTTGCAAAGAAGTGTCGTTTTGTCTCATACTTGCACTAAAACCTAGACCTGTCATACTTGGAGAGATTTTGTGTTTTTGGAGTGAATAACTTCAATAGTTGGATTAGTCAGCATAAATATAATATTTAGAAATAACTTCAGTCCTGTTTTGATTCTCTGAATCCGAACACAGGTATTTATTCCCTGGAAATGAGGAATAATTTGGTTCCTGGACCTTATTCTCCAAACCGCTGGTCTCTGGTGTTTGGAGGAGCTTTTGCAGCCCGTTTGTTTGCGTCTGGTTTGTTGTCGTGGTTCCTCCGTCGTCATGTGTGCAGCCTGTTGCAGCAGCGGTCATGTCAGTTTTCAGCTCTTATCGGATTTTGAGGACATTCATCTTCTGCTGGTTCTTTCCGCCTTCGTTGTTGTGGCCTAATCAACACGGCGCAGCCAGTCCCTCCATCCTCCTTTTTCCACATGTCTCCACACACACACACACACACACACACACACACACACGCACACACGCACACGCACACACGCACATACACACACACACATGCGCACACACACACGCTGCTGACTTCTGTAGGAGTGTGAGAGGCAGAAAGGATGGCTGAGTGTTTGGAGAAAGGTCAGTGGCTGTAATGACGGGTTTACTTTCTCCTGTAAGTTTAAACTAATCTACAAATTTAAACAGACTGGAAGAAAAGGTCATTTACAGTAGAAGTAAACAGTATGAAGTAGTGGTGGAATTTGATTAAAACTGAGTTAATCTCCAGGTCTGCTGTTAATTAATCAAATTAATTGCATTTTAATTGACATAATAAGCAACATTGTCTGGTTAAAAAACCCATTTTGCTGCTAATTTAGCTGCTAAATTTATCATTGAAATGCTATTTGAGACTTTTTTTTTTTTTTTTTTGGGATAGTCACGTCCCAAAAAACATTTCTGACAGTTAATGAAATAAAAACAGAATTTCAGTTGTAATTAGTTCAGGTGAATTTTATTGTTGTAAAACTACTGCCACAAAATATTCTGATAAAACTTTACCGGTTTGTTGCAACATATAGTTTTTGTCAGACATTTGTTTTGCTTCTAATTGAATTTAATATTAAATCTGACTTCAAACATCACTTGATGATTGGATTTTAGTCTCTGAAGTTGTATTCAGTCATCATAATCTGCATTATGCATTAAAAGTGACTTTAGCTGCCAGTAAGTGCTTCAGAGTCATGGACGTATTTCTGCATACATGCATGCAGGTGTTGAACTTCACATTTTCTGGGTTTCTACTGTGCTCGTTTGGCAGCACTGCCCTCTTTGCTCTCTTTGCTCGCTCCTGTTTTGCATTTTTTGGCCGTTGCCGCAGTCTCCCAGCTTTCTCCGGACGTTTCCCAGCTCCGTGTGAGCGGCAGGGAGGGAGGGCGATTTGACAGGAGGCGACTGATGATAGCAGCAGCAGCAGCAGCCAAGCGCTGACTGTTACTCCCCCTGCGTCACTAACGGTCCCAAACAGACAGGATTCAGAGGAAAAGCCTCCATGGAAGCCGAGTTTAATCGTCTGGGGAAGGAGAGACTTTGATTTCATTTGGCTGAAGTGACTCAAGTTCATGTTTCAGGCAGAAGTTTTTCCTCTACTGGAAAAACACATTTTAAAATGTCACCTTACTACAACTGTCTCTGAAGCACACAAGCCCTTTAAACTCAGACAGTAATTATCACCAGTTTAGCCCTCAAGCTGGTTTGAATATACCAACTGGCAGAACTGCCCCAGGTATAAAAAATTAACTTTTCATTGATTACTCTGACTGCTTTTCATCACAGTTAAGATACTGACTGCTCAGGGCTGTCTCACACAACCCCACTTGAAGGAAAGTTGAAGTTTCCATCATTGGAAACAAAAGAAAAACATCCTAAAAGTGTTTTTTAATCTTACGCAGTTAGATGTTTTAATTTTTTTTTTTTATTTTGTGATTTCTTTAACTAGGACAAAATGTTTCCCTTCCTCAGGAACAAACTTTATTTGTTGTTCATCCTCTGAAACAGGAGATGATGAAGATGAAGGAAGGTGATAAAAAGAGATAAATGGAGGCTGGGAAGGGTAATGATGCTGCAGTGAATCCGTTTATTTAATTATACATGAATAATTATCTCATTATTCTTATTATTAATAGTCAAAGACATGGAGGCGACAGGAAACATCAGGTTTAATCAAAGAGATATGTGTTGTTTTGTTTCCATGGTGTCTTCATTTCCGGCCACTGTTGGTTTTTACCGTCTGTTTTCTCATTTTCACCGTCTGTTTTCTCATTTTTACACTCTTTTCTCATTTTTATCGTCTGTTTTCTCATTTTACTGTATGTTTTCTCATTTTTACCGTCGGTTTTCTAACTTTTACCATCTGTTTTCTCATTTTCACCGTCTGTTTTCTCATTTTCACCTCTCCCTCTGCTCTCTGTTCCCCTCCAGATTTCAGAGATCTACGTGTGCGGCGAGTCCGCTGACCTCACAGCCAAAGAGAAGCTGCTGCTATGGAGCCAGCAGGCCACCGACGGCTACCCCGGCCTCCGCTGCACCAACTTCAGCTCGGCGTGGAGCGACGGCCGCATGTTCAACGCGCTGCTCCACAGATACAGGTCAGGGCTGCCGCAGGCGGGGCGAGGCTGTGCGGCGCAGCGCTGCGCTGTGCTGCGTTTCAGGCAGGCAGAACCGACATGCTGCCTCTGTGTGTTTGCTTTTGCAGGCCGGACCTCATCGACATGGAGGTCGTGACCCGGCAGAGCAACCGGGAGAACCTGGAGCAGGCCTTCGAGATCGCCGAGTCGCTGGGCGTGACCAGGCTGCTGGACGCCGAGGGTGAGGCTGCGGATCGGAACCGCTCTTCTCTTAACATGACGCATTTTCCCTCAAAGCAGCCAGACTTACTGGAGAGAATTTGAAGCGCTCTTAGTTAATTGTTCTCCACATTTTCTCTGACAGTCTTTTTTTTGCCCTTTTTCTGCCATTTATTGAGGAAACCTGCTTTTATTTTCCTTTCCTTAATGAATCATTGGGCATAAAACTTAAAAAAGTTCAGGATGGATGAATTTTAACGACGGTTGTAAGCTGTGTTTCCATTACAAATATGTTGAGAAAACACACTTTTGCAGTTGCAGTGTTTTCATTAAATAAACTGAATTAAAATCCCACGGTAATAAGTTTGTTCAGGAGAAAAGTAATTAAAAAACCTGCAGCGCCATCATCATCCCACCACTTCCTGTCATCTTTTTGTCTTTTCCGCAAGTAGTAACATCTGATTATTGATCATGTGACTCATGTCACATAATCAATAAATTGATTAATCGTTCCACGGGTTTTATGTTTCTCCTCTCTGGTTTCCTCAGATGTTGACGTTGCGTCTCCAGATGAGAAGTCCGTCATCACCTACGTCTCCTCGATTTACGACGCTTTCCCTAAAATCCCAGAGGGAGGAGAAGGCATCGCCGCACAGGTGCGACTCGATTTAAAGATAATCTAGATGTTCAGTGAACGTTTCCTTCCTGTTCCCCTGAACCGTTTCCTCCTGGTCATCAGGAAGTGGACCAGCGCTGGTCGGAGTACCAGTCGACGTTCTCATCTCTGCTCCAGTGGAGCCGCCAGCATACGGCCCTCATGGCCAAGAAGAACTTCCCACAGAACCCAGTAGAACTCAAGGTGAATATCCACGTCATCACTTTTATTTCAGTTTAAAACACTTTTAGACCAAACATTGCCCAAATTAATCTCAAACCTAACAAAAGCTAGTTCATTTTTAGGAAACTGAAGCAGGAAAAACCTCCCAGAAGCCCTGAGGAGCAAACTTGCAGTTCTTGTTATAAATGAGGCGTGCATGAAGTTATTGAAGCCTGTTTGTTTGTGACGCTCCATCAGTGACTGTGAAGGTGACTGGTTTTGAGTCGCAGCATCCATTAACAGTCCGTTCCTCCTGCAGGCACTTTATAACGAGTACATCCATTTCAAAGAGACGGAGATCCCCAGCAAGGAGACGGAGAAGTCTCACATCGAGCGTCTCTACAAGCTGCTGGAGGTGAGCGGCGCCGTGTGCATGACGCTGCGCTGGTTCTTGGAGCGAACCCTGCAGAACACAAACACATGATGGCTGAGGAATAAAAGCTCCCCCTGTGTTCCCGCTCAGCTGAGTCTACCGCTGAGCCAGACTTATGATGCGTCAACCGTTCCCGTTTCCAGGTTTGGATCGAGTTCGGGCGGATTAAGCTGCCTCCGGGCCTCCATCCCAACGATCTGGAGGAGGAGTGGGGCAAACTGATCCTGGAGATGCTGGAGCGGGAGAAGGCCCTGAGGCCGGCTGTGGAGAGGTGCAGAAACACAGACAGACTCTTTGTCATTGAGGTTTGATTTCTCAGGACGTCCTAATGAATCCGTTTGCTTTCAGAGTGGAGCTGCTGCTGCAGCGAGCCAATAAGATCCAGAACACGGCCGTGGACTGTGAGGAGAAACTCACCCTGGCTAAGAACACGCTGCAGGCCGTGAGTCGCCTTCGTTTATTTCACAGATTTTAGGGCTCCCAGCTGGATGTCGGGTAAACACAGTGGAGGGCTGCGTTACGACGTCTCGACCATCTGGAACATCAAATATTTACTCAGCGCTTTCCTGTTTTCCGCAAATATTCCACGTTTATCCTGGAAACGAAAACACTCTTAATAATTACTGCTTCTTGTTTGTTTTATAACAACAAGAAGCATATCTTTAAAATCACTATTAACAAGAAATTATTAAAACCACTTTGATAACTTTAGTTTTTTGACTACAAAAAGTAAAAAGAATAATTTGATGAAAAAAATGTAAAAAATAAAAACATTTTAAAATAATAAAAAGCGAAAAGGAGCTTCTTTTTCTTGGCATCTAGCAGAAGGGCAGAAACTGAAGCGTCTGTGATCCGGTTTCAGGACGCGTCCCGGGCCGAGAGCGGCGAGGCGGTGCAGTGCGAGAGAGAAATTGCGTGTTACCTGCAGGACTGCGAGGCGCTGATCCAGCAAATCGAGCAGGATCTGAAAATCTTACGAGAGGAAAAGTACTACCAGGTGGACCAGCTGGCCTTCAGGTGAGAATTTGAGTACAACACAGAATGTTGAGCGAATTCTGTTAGTAAGTCTTAACATACGGCGAAAAAAGACTCAAGTCTAGGAAGAAAAACTTTGTTGACTGAAAAACTTTGATTCAAATGAGTCTAAAGTTATAAAAATGGAATCTCTCAGACTTGATGATATATATATATATATATCAAATGTATATGATATATATATATGATATATATATAAATATGCATATACATATATATATAATATATATATAGCATATATATAGCTATAAATATATATATATATACACACATATGTATATACATACATATATATATATATATATATATATATATATATATATATATATATATATATATATATATATATTTATAGCTAGATAGATCTATATATTTATCTATACGTATATATATATATATATATATATATATATTTTTTTTTTTTTTTTTTTTCAAATCGTTTCCGATTAGTTTTGGTTCAGACTTCTAAAAGTCTGTTTTTGTTCCATGTTTTTACATTTTCTTTTTCCAAATCTGCCTTTAATGAATAAATGTGGTTGTCTTATTTTCTGTTTCAAGTTAGCAATAAAAATGTTGAAATAGATGAATTTGAGCAGTGATGTTGTTGAATGTGGGGGAAGCCGGAGCGCCCGGAGTGAACCCACACCTACACGGGGAGACATTTCCCCCCGTGCAGTCCTGGCTTTTTAATATTAAAATGTCCAATTAACATCATCTGAACCTCTTTATCCAATTACTCCCAATCAGCCAGCTTTGAAATCTAATGTGCTAGAGACATAATTTCATGTCTACAGTGGATGCACTTTATTTCTGTTTGTGAATTTCCACAGAAGTGACGGAGATACAGCCTTCCTAAATCGTTTCCACAGAGATAATTTTTTCATGGGTCTTTCTTGATCACAGTTATCCGTCTCCTCAGCTGACTCTTCTGCAGCATGAGTCTCTGAGTCCTGACTTGATGTTTGTATTGTATCTTCATTTAATGTGACATTTCTCTGTGGAGGTGATGTTCTCTGGTCTCTCTCTGGTCTCTGGTCTCTCTCCCCTTCTGTCCCCATTTCTGCAGAAGTCGTCTGGGGGATCTCTGCTACTATGTGTAAATCATTTCTTGGTATTTTAGTGTCTTCAATCAACTTATTTGTCTCCACTGGGATGACAACAGCTTCCATTTCAGCTCTCATTGTCATCTGCTTTTTTTTCTGACATGTAGATTCAGTCAATTCTTCTGAAATGATCTGCTGAATGATCACTTCTTTAGTTAGAATCTGGTTTATAACAGAGGCTGTCTGAAGCCCTTCTGCTTCTGAAACTCCCTGTTTACTGCTTGCTCCACAAACCGTGTCGTTATTTAAGGTTTCCAATTCAAAGCCAGGTTTCTTTGTCAATTCTATTCTGTTTTGACTTGTAGATATCTTGTACAGCTTTTTCTGCCCATCCTGGTACCCATTCAGATCAGCCCACTGAGTTTCAGAGGGCTGATCTCTTAGAAATAAAAATATCTCAACTTGCCTAAAAATTGTTTGTCGGACTGGTTTGAGGTGGCATCTAGTGTCCAACACATGAATCTCAACTTGCCTAAAAATTGTTTGTCGGACTGGTTTGAGGCGGCATCTGGTGTCCAACACATGTATCTCAGGTTGCGTATAAAGTGTTTGTCGGACTGGTTGCAGGCGGCATCTAGTGTCCAACACATGAATCTCAACTTGCTTAAAAATTGTTTGTCGGACTGGTTTGTGGCGGCATCTAGTGTCCAACACATGTATCTCAGGTTGCGTATAAAGTGTTTGTCGGACTGGTTGCAGGCGGCATCCAGTGTCCAACACATGAATCTCAACTTGCCTAAAAATTGTTTGTCGGACTGGTTTGAGGCGGCATCTGGTGTCCAACACATGTATCTCAGGTTGCGTATAAATTGTTTGTCGGACTGGTTGCAGGCGGCATCTAGTGTCCAACACATGTATCCCAGGTTGTGTATAAAGTGTTTGTCGGACTGGTTGCAGGCGGCATCTAGTGTCCAACACATGTATCTCAGGTTGCGTATAAATTGTTTGTCGTACTGGTTTGAGGCGGCATCTAGTGTCCAACACATGTATCTCAGGTTGCGTATAAATTGTTTGTCGGACTGGTTTGAGGCGGCATCTAGTGTCCAACACATGTATCCCAGGTTGCATAGAAAGTGTTTGAGGGACTGGGTCTAACTGATTGCTGGTTTCTTGTGCGTCTTGCTCTGTTTCCATTGCAGCAGACTTGTGATCAACTGTTTGTGGGCGATTTTCTGACTCTGTCTGAGTTTCAACAGAAACCATTGGACTCTTTCTTCGTCTTCTTACGGACAGTATTTTCCTCATCATGTCTTTCTGTTTTTTAATTTCAGCAGTTAGTTTCTTATTTATTGCAGACATCTCATCAAGTTGTTTCATGAGGTACTTCTGTACTGCAATATGGACCAGTTCAAATTCCATCAATTTGGCTACACACTCACACTTTGGATGACTTGTTGCCTTTTCAGATGGTGAAACCATTGAAACATTTTTTGTTCCAATGATATCAGGGAAAAAGCTTACATCTACATGAGGCTCTGAGTCAGGGAGCGTTTTCCAAAATGTCTTCGGTCCTCTGCTGGGCAAAGATTCCTGATGACTTTGTTGTTCTGCCAGAGGACCATTACTAATGTCATCATTTCCAGCAAAAAACGACAGATCAATGCAAGCACCTTCCTCGGGGAAGGATTTCCACAACAGTGGGGTCCTCTTGTTGCGCTTACTCTTAGAAAGCTGTTTGTCCCCTTTTAGATTGACTTTCTTTGGTGAGCTGGAGATGTTTTGCTCTTTGGTGTCCGGCTGTGTGGTAGAGATCGCCGTGCTGTCAGGAAAACATTCCTCTTTCAAGGAAACTTCTTCGTCACATTCTTGTGGAGCCATTGAAACATTTTGGGTACCAATGATATCAGGGAAAAAGCTGACATCTACATGAGGCTCTGAGTCGGGGAGCGTTTTCCAAAATGTCTTTGGTCCGCTGCTGGGCAAAGCTGCCTGATGACTTTGTTGTTCTGCCAGGGGACCATTACTGATGTCATCATTATCAGCAAAAAACGACAGATCAATGCAAGCAGCTTCCTCAGGGAAGGATTTCCACAACAGTGGGGTCCTCTTGTTGCGCTTACTCTTAGAAAGGTGTTTGTCCCCTTTCTGATTAACTTTCTTTAGTGAGCTGGAGATGTTTTGCTCTTTGGCGTCCGGCTGTGTGGTAGAGATCGCCGTGCTGTCAGGAAAACCTTCCTCTTTCAAGAAAACGCCTTTGTCACATTCTTGTGGAGCCATTGAAACATTTTGGGTACCAATGATATCAGGGAAAAAGCTGACATCTACGTGAGGCTCTGAGTCGGGGAGCGTTTTCCAAAATGTCTTTGGTCCGCTGCTGGTCGAAGCTGCCTGATCACTTTGTTGTTCTGCCAGGGGACCATTACTGATGATTTCATTTTCAGCAAAAAACGACAGATCAATGCAAGCAGCTTCCTCAGGGAAGGATTTCCACAACAGTGGGGTCCTCTTGTTGCGCTTAGTCTTAGAAAGGTGTTTGTCCCCTTTTTGATTAACTTTCTTTAGTGAGCTGGAGATGTTTTGCTCTTTGGCGTCCGGCTGTGTGGTAGAGATCGCCGTGCTGTCAGGAAAACCTTCCTCTTTCAAGAAAACGCCTTTGTCACATTCTTGTGGAGCCATTGAAACATTTTGGGTACCAATGATATCAGGGAAAAAGCTGACATCTACGTGAGGCTCTGAGTCGGGGAGCGTTTTCCAAAATGTCTTTGGTCCGCTGCTGGGCAAAGCTGCCTGATCACTTTGTTGTTCTGCCAGGGGACCATTACTGATGATTTCATTTTCAGCAAAAAACGACAGATCAATGCAAGCAGCTTCCTCAGGGAAGGATTTCCACAACAGTGGGGTCCTCTTGTTGCGCTTAGTCTTAGAAAGGTGTTTGTCCCCTTTTTGATTAACTTTCTTTAGTGAGCTGGAGATGTTTTGCTCTTTGGCGTCCGGCTGTGTGGTAGAGATCGCCGTGCTGTCAGGAAAACCTTCCTCTTTCAAGAAAACGCCTTTGTCACATTCTTGTGGAGCCATTGAAACATTTTGGGTACCAATGATATCAGGGAAAAAGCTGACATCTACGTGAGGCTCTGAGTCGGGGAGCGTTTTCCAAAATGTCTTTGGTCCGCTGCTGGGCAAAGCTGCCTGATGACATTGTTGTTCTGCCAGAGGACCATTACTGATGTCTTCATTTCCAGCAAAAATCGAAAGATCAATGCAAGCACCTTCCTCCGGGAAGGATTTCCACAACAATGGGGTCCTCTTGTTGCGCTTACTTTTAGAAAGGTGTTTGTTCCCTTTGTCATCTACTGTCTCCAGTGTGTTGGTGATTGGTTCTTTTTCAACTGGCATTGAAGAGTCCTGCAGTGCGATATTCTCGGCAGACTTCTTCAGCTCCTCAGCTGCGTGCAGCTCCCACCACACTGCAAATGACATCTTCTTCTTTTTGCGCTTGGGTGGCTTGGGTGGTTGTAACTCCCTTTCCACAATGTTGTCGGATGCGACCTCTTCCACTGTCGGTTGGTTGGACTGCATTGTATACTTTTGTTGATTCGGGTTGTTAATTAAAATCACTTTTCTAGAATCTCGGTAAAATTTCAAGTTAAGTTTGATGTCAATCTCCTAAAGAAATGAGCACCAAACAAAGTTGAAGATCTTACTGTGAACTGCTAAACGAACTCTCAAGACGAACGTATCACCAACGGCTGCTAACAGGTTGTGACATCAGTAGATTGATGTGAGGAACTTTTATAATCGCTGGTGATGTCAGAATTCTGCCTTTGGAGTCACATTGTGATGTCATAGTTTCAGAAATGTCAGTGGGCTTTTAAACTGTCACTGGTTGCCATAGTTACCAGTGACTATGGTAACCATGGCAGGTGAGGCAGGTAAGGCAGAGCCTCACCTGTAATAATGGAAAAATATGATAAAATAATTTATATTGCTATTTTCCCCCTGCCAACATAATAATAGTATAGTTTTAAAAAAACTTTCTGAAAAAAAAAAAAAAATTCCCTTCTCACCCAGAGAGCTCTGAGCTCGGGTCCTCTACCAGAGGCCTGGGAGCTTGAGGGTCCTGCGCAATATCTTGGCTGTGCCAAGGACTGCACATTTCTGGACTGAGATGTCTGATGTTGTTCCTGGGATCTGTTGTAGCCACTGCTCCAGTTTGGGGGTTACTGCCCCGAGGGCCCCGATGACCACAGGCACCACTGTGGTCTTCACCTTCCAGGCCCTCTCCAGTTCTTCCCTGAGGCCCTGGTATTTCTCCAGTTTCTCGTGCTCCTTTTTCCTGATGTTGCAATCACTTGGTATTGCTACATCTACCACAACGGCTTTCCTCTGTTGTTTATCCACTACGACAATGTCTGGTTGGTTCGCCATTACCATTCTGTCTGTCTGGATCTGGAAGTCCCACAGGATCTTAGCTCTGGCGTTCTCCACCACCTTTGGGGGTGTTTCCCACTTTGATCTTGGGGTTTCCAGTCCATATTCTGCACAGATGTTTCTGTACACAATGCCTGCCACTTGGTTATGTCGCTCCATGTACGCTTTCCCTGCCAGTATCTTGCACCCTGCTGTGATGTGCTGGACTGTCTCAGGGGCCTCCTTGCACAACCTACACCTTGGGTCTTGTCTGGTGTGGTAGATCTGGGCCTCTATTGCTCTGGTGTTTAGGGCCTGTTCCTGGGCGGCCAGGATGAGGGCCTCTGTGCTGTCCTTGAGTCCAGCTTTTTCCAGCCATTGGTAGGATTTACTGATATCAGCCACTTGGGTTATTTGCTGGTGGTACATCCCATGTAGGGGCTTGTCCTCCCATGATGGTATCTCTGGCACCTCAACCTCTGTTCCCAGTGGTCTGAGACATTCACTGAGCACATTGTCTGTTGAGGCTTTGTCCCTGATGTATTTATGGATCTTAGTTGTTTCATCCTGGACAGTGGTTCTCACACTCACTAGTCCTCTGCCTCCTTCCTTGCGGCTCGTGTACAGTCTCAGGGTGCTGGATTTGGGATGGAACCCTCCATGCATGGTTAGTAGCTTTCTAGTCTTAATATCTGTGGCTTTTATCTCCTCCTTTGGCCAGCTAATTATTCCAGCAGGGTATCTGATTACTGGCAGGGCATAGCTGTTTATCGCACGGATTTTGTTCTTGCCATTGAGCTGGCTTCTCAGGACTTGCCTTATTCGTTGGAGGTATTTAGCTGTGGCTCCTTTCCTTGTGGCCTCATCGAGGTTGCCATTTGCTTGTGGTATACCTAGGTACTTGTAACTGTCCTCTATGTCTGCTATTGTTCCTTGTGGGAGTGAGACTCCTTCTGTATGCGGTAATAAGGTAACAAGGAGGGGAGTGAGCCAACTGTCAGAGCTCCACAAGGGTACAATGAAAAGACCAGTACCCAGAAAGTACAGACAGGTGCCCACACCTGAAGCACTCGAAACTGCCAAACAGAGGCTCCAAGCCTTGGCCAGCCGCCTAAAGAGATACACAAGGAAGAATGAATCCAGAAGGATTAACCGGCTCTTCTCCACTCAACCAGCTAAGGTGTACTCTCAATGGCAGGGTAATAACAACAGAGCAGAGACTGGCTGGAGACTGAACAATACTGGAAAGGCATATGGGAAAGGGAGGCGTCCCACAACAGCAATGCACAGTGGCTGATCTCTCTACGAGAGGACCACAGCAACCTCCCTGAACAACCCCGGTAACCATCACTGTAACAGATGTTCAAGAAAGAGTCTCAGGTATGAAAAACTGGACAGCACCAGGGCCTGACATGATCCATGCCTACTGGCTAAAGAAACTCACTGCCCTCCATGAGCGACTGGCAGCCCAAATGAACCAGCTGCTACAAAGTGGGACTCACCCTGAATGGTTAACTGAAGGGCGAACAATCTTGATCCAGAAGGACCCATCAAAGGGTCCAGTCCCACCCAACTACCGACCAATAACCTGCTTCTCCACAACCTGGAAGCTCATGTCAGGCATCATAGTGGCCAAGATAAGAAAACACATGAATAAACACATGAGCACAGCACAGAAGGGTATCGGTGTAAATACCAGAGGAGCCAAACACCAACTCCTCGTAGACCGCACAGTTGCCCGAGACTGCAAAACCCGACACACCAACCTGTGCATGGCTTGGATTGATTACAAGAAAGCCTATGACTCAATGCCGCATACTTGGATCATTGAATGCCTAGAGATGTATAACATCAACAGGATTCTGAGAGCCTTCATTGCAAACTCGATGAGGCTGTGGAAAACCACCCTTGAAGCCAACTGCAAACCACTTGCACAAGTGTCCATCAAATGTGGCATATACCAAGGAGATGCTCTGTCCCTGCTACTGTTCTGCATAGGCCTGAACCCCCTCAGCCAAATTCTCCACTCAATCAGATTGGTTACGGATACCGACTCAAAAATGGGGCCAACATCAGTCACCTTCTCTACATGGATGACATCAAGCTGTATGCCAAGAGTAAGGGAGACATCGACTCACTGATCCACACCACCAGGATCTACAGCACGGACATTGGGATGTCATTCGGACTAGAGAAGTGTGGTCGGCTGGTCACAAAGAGGGGGAAGGTGATCCGCACAGAAGGAGTCTCACTCCCACAAGGAACAATAGCAGACATAGAGGACAGTTACAAGTACCTAGGTATACCACAAGCAAATGGCAACCTCGATGAGGTCACAAGGAAGGGAGCCACAGCTAAATACCTCCAACAAATAAGACAAGTCCTGAGAAGCCAGCTCAATGGCAAGAACAAGATCTGTGTGATAAACAGCTATGCCCTGCCAGTAATCAGATACCCTGCTGGAATAATTAGCTGGCCAAAGGAGGAGATAAAAGCCACAGATATTAAGACCAGAAAACTACTAACAATGCATGGAGGGTTCCACCCCAAATCCAGCACCCTGAGGCTGTACACGAGCCGCAAGGAAGGAGGCAGAGGACTAGTGAGTGTGAGAACCACTGTCCAGGACGAAACAACTAAGATCCATAAATACATCAGAGACAAAGCCTCAACAGACAATGTGCTCAGTGAATGTCTCAGACAACAGGGAACGGAGGTTGAGGTGCCAGAGATACCATCATGGGAGGACAAGCCCCTACATGGGATGTACCACCAGCAAATAACCCAAGTGGCTGATATCAGTAAATCCTACCAATGGCTGGAAAAAGCTGGACTCAAGGACAGCACAGAGGCCCTCATCCTGGCCGCCCAGGAACAGGCCCTAAACACCAGAGCAATAGAGGCCCAGATCTACCACACCAGACAAGACCCAAGGTGTAGGTTGTGCAAGGAGGCCCCTGAGACAGTCCAGCACATAACAGCAGGGTGCAAGATACTGGCAGGGAAAGCGTACATGGAGCGACATAACCAAGTGGCAGGCATAGTGTACAGAAACATCTGTGCAGAATATGGACTGGAAACCCCAAGATCAAAGTGGGAAACACCCCCAAAGGTGGTGGAGAACGCCAGAGCTAAGATCCTGTGGGACTTCCAGATCCAGACAGACAGAATGGTAATGGCAAACCAACCAGACATTGTCGTAGTGGATAAACAACAGAGGAAAGCCGTTGTGGTAGATGTAGCAATACCAAGCGACTGCAACATTAGAAAAAAGGAGCACGAGAAACTGGAGAAATACCAGGGCCTCAGGGAAGAACTGGAGAGGGCCTGGAAGGTGAAGACCACAGTGGTGCCTGTGGTCATCGGGGCCCTCGGGGCAGTAACCCCCAAACTGGAGCAGTGGCTACAACAGATCCCAGGAACAACATCAGACATCTCAATCCAGAAATGTGCAGTCCTTGGCACAGCCAAGATACTGCAGGACCCTCAAGCTCCCAGGCCTCTGGTAGAGGACCTGAGCTCAGAGGATAAGAACCACCCGCGGTAGTGAGAAGGGAATTTTATTTTATTTATATATATATAGGTACATACACGGCAACACATTGATTTGAAAAATGTTATCATTATTGCACAACACAGAGTAATGAAACTGAAATGGAGGGTTTCCTAGTTTTTACTATGTAAGTAAAGGGAAAGTTGACTCGTTTGAATCCCTTTATTTCAGATTTAAAATGCAGTTTGATTGAATTTACTAGTTAATGTTTTGGAGAAGTTTTTTCTGAGACAACCAGCTTTAAACCTGAATTCATGTGGACTCATCCTGCACGGTAAATTAATTCTGCCTCCTACATAACACTGTTTGACCTTTTTGTGACCTGAAAAGAGTTGTGATATTCAGAGAAAAACACCAACAGGTTGTTGGGTGGAGTTAAACCAGGCTCCAACCTTCAGAGCTTCTGTTTTTACAGGAAACACAGAAACATACGGGGGATAAATAACACTCCGCTTTCCGTTAATACTGACTTTATGTTCTGATTTCTGCAGAGTTAACTGCCTTCAGGAGGAGCTGGTCTCGCTCCGGCTGCAGTGCTCCAGCGTCTACAGGAAGGGTCACTTCTCTCAGGCCCTGGGGCCCACCGGCACGGAGCCGCCCTGGCAGAGAGCCACAGACGGAGGCCTCCCTCTGGGTCAGACCCTGCTGGGGGCCGTGGGGGCTCTGGGGGCCGTCGGAGCCGCTCTCCTGCGGCGGCCGATGGCGCGCTCTCAGCTGGTGGCCATGTCGTCATCAGAGGATGAAGGAAGCCTGAGGTTCATCTACGAGCTGCTGGGATGGGTGGAGGAGACGCAGGTCAGCCTCGACCGCGGAAACGTTCAAAAACAGATTATTTCAGATCATTTTAAACAATCTGGATCTGTGGATCTCTTCCTAGTTTATGATTTTAGGTTCTTTACCTCCTACTAAACTCGTATTTTCAGGAGATAAATCAAGCTTCTCTCCACTTTTACTCTTAAAGTTTCTCTGTTGAGCATGTTTTAGATTAAAAAAACAGAAAACCTTTTTTTCTTTGTTTTGCTATGTTTTCTGTATCTCCTCCACTTTTCACTGCAAAAACAGAACAACTGGTTTCTAGTGCAGGTATCCAAATGTATAATTCTGTAAATAAAAAGACACTAAAATAATCTGCCATTGGGAAGAGAATCCTTTGAGTCCTCAGATATTAATCAGTTTATAAAAATGATCAGAAATAAATAAACTGAGCTTTTCACATGTTGATATTATTAGCTGTATGCTTTGCCGCAAATGATAAAACTTTCACTAAACGCATGTTGTTTGCTTATATTTTCATCTTTTAAAAAATTAAACTGTTTATTTGCATCTTTCCACATATTTCTAACATATAAAAAGGTTTGATTTGTTAAAATAAAAATCTGCACATTGTACCAAGTTTTTTTTATCTGATTAATTTTCAAAATAATTTCTAAAATAATCGTTAGCTGCAGCCCTACTCTGGTTGCTATGGTGATTCCCTCCAACAACTGAGTTTTTGCTAAATTTTGACTTTCTATAGAAAATCGTTTTGAGCTGTTAGTACTCAAAATGAGTACTAACAGTATATCACGTCTGAATATGAAAATGTTGTATTTTATGTTGGAGAAGTGACCTTTCACTTCCACAAAACGGCAGATTCTGCAGATAAACTCTGTCCTGGTGTGTTTTAGGAGCTGCTGGAGGGAGCAGAGTGGGGCGCAGACCTCCCCTCTGTGGAGAACAACCTGCAGGAGCACAACACCATCCACACGGCTGTGGAGGAGCTGCTGAGCAGCCTGCAGGAGGCGCGCAGCTACGAGGTGCACATGCAGCCCCACAGGACCAGTTTTTATTTTTGTTGAACAATACAGTTGGTAATCAAGATTTTGTCCGTCTCCATTTAGGCCAAAGTTTCCCCGAACTATAAAGGCAGCTACTCAGAAACCCTGGCCAAACTGGAGCACCAGTACTGCAAGCTACTGGTGAGTGTTTCCCAGTTAATCCCATTAAAGCACATCAACAAATTCTCCATCTGTTCGATGTGCTTTCCATCTTTTTTTCCCCCTTTTTTCTAGTTAAATGTTTGTGTTTCTGTAGTTCTGTTGCATCTAAAAGCTTTCAGCGATGCTAAAGTAGCAGCTTTGGAGTTTTACATTTTTCAGTTTTGCACATTTCAAACCTTTACATCACAAGACGTTCATTACATCAATGCATTTTTCAGCAAGAGCAGTACGCGCCTTTGTCTGGCCGACGATTCACACCACAAAATCACAACCAATATTCTCTCTAGTTTCTGCTGAAATATCTCAGTACTCTTAGAAAAAGACAAAACTAACTTTCAAGTCAATATTGGAGCTTGTTTTAAATCAGTAATTCCTTTTAATTTGTAGAAAAATGTCTTATTTTATGTGTTATTTCCTATTTTTTAGTTTGAAGTTGGTTTGTCTTATTTTAGCTGTATTAAGATATTTGCACTAGAAACTAGACAAGAAATACTTTGTATTTCATCTTCGACTCTCTTTAAAATCCTGTTTCATGCCGACCGGCAGCTTGACCGAACAATGGGAGGAAGTGTTGTTGTGTGTTGATGGGGGGACGTTTGTGTGGTTTCCATAGGAACATTCGTCATGCCGCCTGCAGAGCCTGGAGAGTTTGCACGCGTTTGTGTCGCGCTGCACCGAGGAGCTGATCTGGCTCAACGAGCGCGAGGAAGAGGAGATCTCCTTCGACTGGAGCGACGGCAATGCCAACATGAGCGCCAAGCGGGAGCTGTACGAGGTGAGCCAAAGCTCTCCACTGTGAACGCTGAACGTAAACACACCCTGATGTTCACCTGCTGGTTCTGGTTCTGGTTGCAGGAGTTGAGGTTGGAATTGGCAGAGAAACAGGATGTGATGCGTTCCATCCAGGAAACGGCTGGCCAGCTCTGTCAGGAAAACCATCCGGCCAAACAGACTGTGGAGGTAATATTTACAGATTTACATCAGGTTGGTTCTGTACTGCTGAATAGAAGTGGGCGGGGCTTCTGTGTCATTGAGCTGGAAGCTCCGCCCACCACATTCAGCAGCTTTCAGATATTGAGAAAATTCATTCTTTTCGATGTCTTCCTTCCTTTCATTTTATTTTCCATTTTTATCCTCCATTCGGTCTGTTTGTCTGTGCAAATTGAATTCATGTTTGTTTTTATGTTTGCCTTCAGCACTGGATCATAAGGTCCAGCTTAATGGTGTTTGGCAAGTTTTTAAACTTTGTTGCATTTAAAATAGTACAAAGAGAACATTTCTGGATTTATCCATGTTTTCCAGCTCCTTTTTATTTTTATTTATTGACTAAAGCACAATAAATAAACAATGGACTTGGTTTTGTTTTCCAATTACCAGTAAAAAATTTAATAGAACAAAAAAACCAAACACACTTATATACTATTTTAGGGAATGTCCTATAATGGGAATGGCCTCATCTTTTGTTTTTGTTGTCAGAAAATGATCTAGAACCTTTTTTTACATGCTGTGTATAGAAGTAATAAATTAATTGGTGAAAATGACCTTTTTTCAAGCTTTTACCAAAATGTTTGTGCATACTCTCGGTTTTCAGAGCTGATCTTGTTTCTAGCTAAAGTCAAAGCTCTTATGGAGGCTTTTACATTTTACAGCTTTAAAAATGTTTTTAAAAACTGTTGCACTTATTGATCAAGAAAAATATGAAATATGACTCCAGAAACTCTGCATGCAAATACTCAGGGTTGAATGAATACTTTCTACCTCAAACTGTCTTTATTATTTGTTTTAAAGGTTATTTAAAATGAACATTTCTTTATGCTTTGATTTGCTTCTGTGAAATCAATCAAATTGTGGAAATACAATTTTTATGATGTGATTATAAAATGAATTTTATAAAAACAAAATGAAAGTAAAAAGAATGTTTTCTGTGTTTCCAGGCCTACAGTGCAGCCCTGCAGACGCAGTGGCAGTGGGTGGAGCAGCTGTGTGTTTGTGTTGAGCAGCATCTCAAGGACAACACCGCCTACTTCCAGGTGAGCTTAAGGTTCTGCTTATGCTACTGCAACGTTTAAATCTGCATAAAACCATTACAGTTCTGATTAAACTGGTGTAAACTCAATAAAACCATTTTAGACCAGATAAAACCAGTTTTACTGGATAAAACCAGTTTAAACCAGATAGAACCAGTTTAACTGGATAAAACCAGTTTAAACTGGATTCTTCCCTGCAGGTTGTTAATCTCTGCGTTTTCTTCCAGTTCATGAGCGACGCCAGGGACTGCGAGTCGTACCTGCGGCAGCTTCAGGAGACGATAAAGAGACAGTACACCTGCGACAAGAACAGCCGGCTGAGCAAACTGGAGGACCTGCTGCAGGACTCCATGGTAACCAGATATCCAATCAGAAAGCTTTAGCTCAGTCACTACCCTGAATCGAGCCACGCCCACATTCATCCATCCATTTTTTCCTTTTCTGAACAGTCTTTGCATTTTTCCATTCTTCCATCTATTTTCATGCAGGTTGTAGTCTGGACTTTGACTAGGCCATTGCAGCCTCTTGTTTCTTTTCTCCTACCAGTGGGACTTGTTTTGGTTTTCTCCTATCATGATGCTGATTCATGTCCATCGTCCCAGACATTTTGTCCTTCATTCAGACCCGCTCTGCAGGCTTCAGCCCTTCTGCCTCTTGATTTTAGATCCTGAAGGTTTTTTTCCCCCAAATCCCTACGTATTAGTTTTTTCCTGTCAGGAATCAAACCGTTAACCTGCTAATTGAGGGCTATAGATCCTCCTGTAAGCCCTCAGCTGGAGGTCACGTTGAGGTTTGACCCTCAGTCTTTTCTGTTTCCTGTTGATGGAGTTTTCTGCTCGATGTTTCTCCCGGGAGCCGTCGTACCTGTTCGCCTCAAAATGTCACACCTCACTCTTTATATTCCAGACATTCAGCTCGTCTGTGTTGGTTCAGATTTAAACCAGCAGCTGACCTGCTGCTGTTCGCCTAACAGAGCCGCCTCGTCTCTCAGTGGGAAATTTATCTCTGAGGTGTAAAGTAAAAACTCATCAGCACGGACCTGCTAGCTGCCTCCCTGTTGTTTCTCCATCATGAATCTTTGATGACGCTCTTTTCTCTGATGAGGAGGAGGTGTAGCACCGGCTGTCAGGGCGAAGAGCCCTCCAGTTTAATGTTTAATGTTTATCGGCCGAGTTAGAAAGGTCCACTCAGGTCCAGAGGCTTGGACAGCGCTGATCTTCCTGTTGGCTCTCCACTTTCTTACATCTTTTTAAAGTTGCAGCTCAGTCCCTTCAATTATTAAGGCTAAAAAGTTTTCTTAGATAGCATCTGCATATCCATAAATCATAGCATGAGCTGCTATGATTTATGGATATGGAGACATTGCTGCTGTCTAAGCAGACAGGATTCAGATTTCAGCATATATATTATCGCTAGTGATGCACTTGAAGGCATCATGTCTGCAGAGCCAGACTGTTCCAACGTGGTCAGCTGGTTTTGTACAACGGCTGCTGGAAATGACAAGAGTTTGTTGTTGACCCACCCACCAGAAATCATTCCTGCATTCTTGTTGGTTGTGCAGGAGGCTCCACTTCTGTTTTTCAAAGATGTATGGTTGTTTGTATCTGTTTGTATTCATTTTCACGACCGAATGCAAACGTTGAGTTGCAGCTTATTTAGATTAAAACAAGACGCTCTAAAAAGACTAATTCTGCACTGAACAGACTAAAATCTGATTATCTAAGAAGGAGTGAAAAATGTAATGAACATGTTTTGTTTAGACCACAGACTTAACTGACCTGTTAAAGGAAGTGTAATAAGTTGAGCTATGACCCTCTGCTGTTCCGGTAGGAGGAGAAGGAGCAGCTGATTGAGTACCGCAGTACGGTGGCCAGCCTGGTGGGTCGGGCCAAGACGGTGGTCCAGCTCCGGCCCCGCAGCGCGGAGAGTCCACTGGGTGGCGCCACACCCATCAGAGCCATCTGCGACTACAAACAGATCGAGGTACGGCACCGGAGCTTGACCCGTTTCTCACCTCTGACCTTCACCAGTGATCACCTTCCCCTGGAAACGGCTCCAAGGGTTCGCTTGGAGAAACGTGGCGGAAATGTTTACCTGGAGGAAAATATCTGGTCTAAACTCAGGGAGTTCAGAGAAAAGTTGAGCATCAAAGCAGTATAAAAGATCCAACAAGATGTTGTTCCATTCATTTAAATATCAAGAATTAGATGAAAATGAATTTCAGTAGTTTTACAGACCTGTACTGGAGTGTATTGACAAGGTGGCCAATCTGCAGGTGAACTGATCAACCAATCAGACGGCAGAGTCTATTTGAGACAAACTGACAGTTGAAGTTATTCCAGATGGACAGCAGCTCAGGAAATATCAAATAAATGTAAAATAATATTAGCATCTTGAAAGAGGATTAAAGTCACTGATAAATAAATACAATTTTGACTTTAATCTGATTTAATTCTGATTTTGGGTTCAGAGGAGATGAAGTTTCCGTCCTGCTGGTTCTGACGGACCGTTAGCTTGGCCGTCTTCTGGAAGTCTAAATGTGTCCCAAGCAGGATCCCATAGGTTCTCTGCAGCGCCCCCTGGATGTCCGGCCGCTATGTGTAGCGGCAGGTTCTGCCGGGTCGGTGTGTCTGAACACCGGAGCTTCGGTTTGGGTTTGGGGTTCTGCTCAAAGTGTCACAGAGGCTCTGGAGAGTCGAGCACCACAGTAATCTTTCTCTGCTTCGCTGTCTTTTTTCTCTCCACACCCCTCCTCTTCCTCCTCCTCCTCTTCCTCTCGTCTGTCGGTCGGCCTGACAAGACAAACGTTCAGGTATAGCTGCCTCTCTTCTCCTTCTCTAACCTCAGATTCTCACTCGCTCGCTTCCTTATCAGCTGATTTAAGACTTTTTAACACAATTCTCTAAGTTTGATTTATTTGCTTATTTACCCATAAAATAAATTTGTTTCTATTTATTATTTTACTTCTGAGTTTTCACACAATGAATCCCATAACAGACATGAAACATGAACCTGTAAATGACAAAGCAAAAATAATATTTAAACAAATATTTAATTATATTCATCTAATATTCAATTAGATGAATAAAAAAGAAAAGACATGGAGAAAATAAATGAAATAGAAGGCAGATAAATTGGGTTTAATATGTTCTGTGCTACTATAAGCTTTACAGAAAAATTATCTCAACATTTCTGATTTGATAAAAGTTAGTTTGGTTTTCAAAACACTTTGGTAAAACACATTTTTCCTGCTTGTGTCCAGCTCCTCATAATAATTTTTTTACGGATAAAATAAACTATTGGCCTAATCTCTAATAATTATTTTATATTTTAATTTTTATTGTGATAACCGATTTTACAATAAACTGCAAAGTCAGATCTAAATCAAGATATAAATTTCAAAACAACTGTACAATTAAATGATTAAATGTGAAAAGAAAAAATAATTATATGAAAATAACTTGCTGCCTTTATGATGAAACGGATTAAATATTTGCAGTAAATCTGTGGATATTTCTGCTGAATTTCTTTATTCTGGACTTTTGCTTTGTAATTTTCTTACTATTCATTTCCTTAACTATTAAAACAATTAATAAATATTAGTGCAACGCAGTGTATTTACCAGAGTAAAGGACACAGAAACAGGCAGGATCTAAATAAAATTCCTATAAACTTTCTGATACCAGTTAAATTCCAGTGCAGGATATTTAGTCTGACATCAGCTGATAAGAGTCGGAGGCGCTCACTGAACTGAACACGTTCAGTCAGAAAACGACGAGATCTGAATGCATTTCATATACTTCCTGTTTGTGCCGAGCTTTGCATTATTGGCGTGTGTGTCTGTGTGCAGGGAAGGGGCGAGAAAGGCAGTTTATTCTAAACTAAAGCTAAATGCTAATTGCTAACAGCTGGGTTTCTGATCAGACTGACAGGAAAACCAAACGCTGGGTTTGGAGAACGTTTTCTGTTTGAGCTTTATTGATGCAAAGCCGCTTCGTTTCCGTCCCAGTTCCTCCGATCCCATAATCATTCCAGGATCTCCTGCAGCTTCATGATTTGTTTTCATTTTATGTTTCATGATCACTCTGTTGCTCTTTGCTTTGTTTCTTTTCCTCCTGCTTGATTTTACCCTTAATGTCTCATTCTGCCTCTAATCTCTTTGGTGTTCTCAAACTCTCATAATTGCCTGCCTTTATTCTAATGTTTCTGGTAATGTTCTCCTGTATTTCCACTCCCGCCTCAGATCACCATCAACCGAGGCGAGGAGTGTGTGCTGGGGGACAACTCCCAGCGGACCAAGTGGAAGGTGATCAGCCCGACGGGGAACGAAGCCATGGTTCCCTCCGTGTGTTTCACCGTCCCGCCGCCCAACCAGGAGGCCATCGACACGTCCAGCAGGTCAGACTCAAACTCTACGGCTTTTGTCAGACGTCCGACTTCAATCTGCAGCAAACTGATGAATTTATCCTGTAATCTGAATAACAAAATCATCCCATGGCTGCAAACGGCCCTCAGAACAGAAAGGATTGTTTAAATATGTTTAAATGTTTAAATTTGCTTGTCTCAAGAAACACTTTTAGTCAGTTAAAAGAATAAAAAACTATTTTTAGGTAAAATAAAGGAACGAAACAACAGAGCTGTCTTATTTCTATAGTTGGTTTAAATATGCTGATCACAAGCATCAGATGGATTTTACCAGTTTAAATGACTTGATTTACAAGAAAAAGTCCTTAATGAGGAAATAAACAAATAAATATATCAATAAGACAAATACAAATGTTAAACATCATAAGAGACTAATTAGGATTATTTAAGAAACATATTTAATTATTTTAATAAAATGATTAAAAAAAAACTAAATAAGTAAAAATAAAGAAATCATTAAGAATATATATAAATGACAGTAACTTTTATGTTTATTTATGCATCACAAGCATGTAGATGGATTTTACCAATTTATATGAACTATCTTAATTAAAGAAGAAACCTCTTAGAGGAAAAAATATATTTTAATTAAAAAATGAAGAAATAAAACCACAATAAATATATTAAAAATTAAGACCAAATAAATAAAAAATGGATTATGTTAATAATAAATCTTTCTGTCAAGACCATATAATACACATCTTTAATAATTTTTTAAAGAACAATTAACCATTTAAAGGGATGACTGCGTGTTCTTAAGCAGCTGAGGTCTGTTATCCGTCACCGACTGCTTCCTGTCACCGACTGTTTCCTGTCACCGACTGTTTCCTGTCACCGACTGTTTCCTGTCACCGACTGCTTCCTGTCACCGACTGCTTCCTGTCACCGACTGCTTCCTGTCACCAACTGTTTCCTGTCACCAACTGTTTCCTGTCACCGACTGCTTCCTGTCACCGACTGCTTCCTGTCACCGACTGCTTCCTGTCACCGACTGTTTCTTGTCACCGACTGTTTCCTGTCACCGACTGCTTCCTGTCACCGACTGCTTCCTGTCACCGACTGCTTCCTGTCACCGACTGCTTCCTGTCACCGACTGTTTCCTGTCACCGACTGTTTCCTGTCACCGACTGCTTCCTGTCACCGACTGTTTCCTGTCACCGACTGTTTCCTGTCACCGACTGTTTCCTGTCACCGACTGCTTCCTGTCACCGACTGCTTCCTGTCACCGACTGCTTCCTGTCACCGACTGCTTCCTGTCACCGACTGTTTCCTGTCACCGACTGCTTCCTGTCACCGACTGTTTCCTGTCACCGACTGTTTCCTGTCACCGACTGTTTCCTGTCACCGACTGTTTCCTGTCACCGACTGCTTCCTGTCACCGACTGCTTCCTGTCACCGACTGCTTCCTGTCACCGACTGCTTCCTGTCACCGTCTGCTTCCTGTCACCGACTGTTTCCTGTCAGCGACTGTTTCCTGTCACCGACTGTTTCTTGTCACCGACTGTTTCTTGTCACCGACTGCTTCCTGTCACCGACTGCTTCCTGTCACCGACTGTTTCCTGTCACCGTCTGCTTCCTGTCACCGACTGTTTCCTGTCACCGACTGTTTCCTGTCACCGACTGTTTCCTGTCACCGACTGTTTCCTGTCACCGACTGCTTCCTGTCACCGACTGCTTCCTGTCACCGACTGCTTCCTGTCACCGACTGCTTCCTGTCACCGACTGCTTCCTGTCACCGACTGTTTCCTGTCAGCGACTGTTTCCTGTCACCGACTGTTTCTTGTCACCGACTGTTTTCTGTCACCGACTGCTTCCTGTCACCGACTGCTTCCTGTCACCGACTGTTTCCTGTCACCGACTGCTTCCTGTCACCGACTGTTTCCTGTCACCGACTGTTTCCTGTCACCGACTGTTTCCTGTCACCGACTGTTTCCTGTCACTGACTGCTTCCTGTCACCGACTGCTTCCTGTCACCGACTGTTTCCTGTCACCGACTGTTTTCTGTCACCGACTGCTTCCTGTCACCGACTGTTTCCTGTCACCGACTGCTTCATGTCTCTGACTGCTTCCTGTCACCGACTGTTTCCTGTCACCGACTGCTTCATGTCTCTGACTGTTTCCTGTCACCGACTGCTTCCTGTCACCGACTGCTTCCTGTCACCGACTGCTTCCTGTCACCGACTGTTTCCTGTCACCGGCTGTTTCCTGTCACCTCAGGGCGGAGCAGCTCTACCAGAAGGTGATGTCTCTGTGGCATCAGCTGCATGTGAACATGAAGAGCATGGTGACGTGGCACTACGTCCTCAAAGACATCCGGTCCATCTCCGGCTGGACTCTGGACTCGGTGAGTCTCTCATACGACTCCTAAGAAAGTCCCAGGCTTTTAATCTGAAGGTCTGACCTCCGTTCTCCGCCCGTTTCCTCCGTCAGGTTCGAAGTCAGAGTCCATCGGAGCGGCAGCAGCTGCTGGACCACCTGGCGTCGCAGCTGGCCGACTTCCTGTCCGACAGCAAGGAGAGCTCGCTGTTCACGGCGGCCGAGAGACGGGAGCTGGAGCGGGACGCGCAGCAGGCGCAGCAGCACTGCCAGGACCTGCTGCGCCACATGGAGACAGGTGGGGGCGCCGCCGAGCAAAAAGCTTCAGTTTACGTTCACACAGCAGGAAAATAAGACCCAAAAACGACCCGATCTTTTCACCCAACCTCATCTTCAGGTTTATTAACACGACATTTAAACTTCTCTGTCTCCTAGCACCAGGTTGAATCACTAACAGGAAGTCGAGGTTGTTTTGATTCCCAAGGGAAATTGCTTGTCACTTCATCCAAGGTGTTAAATATTGATAATTACAAATATAACCAAAAGGAAAGACATAACATTTATGATTTTGTGACCATAATGTCGGCTCTGATTGCTGAATAAACTTTAAAATCCAGAGTCATCCATTATTCTATAACAGTACGCTGCTGAGGGGCGTTCACGTTGTTCTGCGCTTCGGAAAACAGAAATCTGCTTCTATTTGGGTTTAATTATTACCACAACCGACCAGAAAATCAGAATTCAGCCAAACGTGAGTGGATCAAGCGAGCGTAGCCAGTTTGTGACCAGTGTTTCTGTTTCTGCGCAGCGGAGAAAGACGAGTCGGTGTCGCGGTCGTACCTGTCGGAGCTGCAGGACGTCACGCTGCGTCTGGACGACGCCGAGCGCCGGCTGATGAGAGCCATCGAGACGCCGCCTCCCAGCCGGCTGTCGAGCGCCGGCTTCGACAACACGCTGCAGATCGCAGAGCAAGAGGTCAGGCTGAGCGCCATCTGCTGGGTGGAAACTGCAACTACACCTGTTAATGTTGTAGAAACTGGAAGCACTTCCAGTGTAGGAAGAGTGGATAAAATGTCTATTTAATTGGTTTTAATAATCAGGAATGAAAAAGTTTAAGGTTCAAAAAGAGTTTTTGAACCTTTTATTGATGTTCTTGGGAATGTTTTTCCACAAAGTTAAATGAATGTTAGTTTGCATCTTTTTAAGATTTATTTCATATATATATATATTTAGGTGGAATTAAAATAAATTTAGCATTTATTTGAAGAAACTAATGAATAAAATAAGTGTGTAATAATTAAGAAAGTAAATAAGACTTTTAAACCTGGTGTATGTAACTTTTATAAAAATTATTTTTGACATATTTGTTGAAACTATAATTTATGAGACACATTATTTGTCAAAACAATGTAGCGTCTTGATCTTCTCCCAGTGCTAACTGGAAACAACCAATCTGAGCCAGGAGGCGGGGCTTAGCGCTGTCAATCACAAAATGATCTGCCGCTGCTTGTTGTTCTCTGCTATGCTGCAGCTAACTTAACGTGTTGTGAACACTAAGGCTAGTTAGCATAGCAACCAATGGCAGCAAATAAACAGACTTCTTGTAAGTTGTTTCTTTGTCATTAGCATATTCAGCTTTGATTGATTGACAGCGCTAAACCCCTCCTCTTTGTTCTGATTGGTTGTTTTGCTTTTCTTTTGCATTTCCTGACAAACGTAGAAGAGATTGATCTTTTTATACTTTTACAACAAAACCTATTCTTTATAAAAGTTACAGTCTGCAGCTTTGAGAGAGAAAACTGAAATAAAACGTTTAATTTCCTGTTTTTTCCAGAAGCTGCAGTCTGAGCTGGACTCGCTGCGCTGCGGGCTGGGTGACGTTTCGCGGCGCTGTGTCCGGTTCTTCGAGGAGAAGCCGTCGTCCTCCAGCGTTCCCGTCCTGCGCTCGCAGCTCAGTCAGGCCGTGGAGCGAACCGACAGGCTGCACAACCTCTCAGCGCTCTGCCTGGAGAAGTTAGTGAACCTTTTTATTCGCTCACCACACAGGATCAGCTTGAAACGTTTTGCTTCCTTATGAATTGAAATGCTTTTTTGTTTTCCACCCGTTCAGGTTAAAAACGGTCGACGTTTTGATGCGGAGCCTGGATGAAGCAGAGAGCCAGGTCAGGAAGTACGAGAGCAGACTGAGCGAAGAGGACACCGTTCCCGCCGACACCGGCGCCATCCAGAACCTCAGAGACCAGCTGGCGGTAAAAACTGATGCAGACGCTTCGCTGCTGCAGCTAACGATTATTTTACCTGTTGATTCATTCTGCAGATGTTTGGTACAATTTTAGAAATGCATTAAAAGATGCAAATAAACAATTCACTTCCTTTTTTTAAATAAAAAATATTTGATTATAATACAATAACATTAACTTGACATCATTTGTAGCGAACGATGAATTTACATCTTTCTAACGTCAACATGTGAAAAGCTTGGCGCCCTCTGCTGGACTTACTATTGTTTTTTATATTAACTGATTAATAACTGGAAGCAAAACGTGATTAATATGAGATTTTTTTTATTGTCAGGAAAAAGCTAGTTGATTTTGGGGCTGAACATTTATCATAACGTTGAACCTTTATCACAAAATTTTGATTTATCGTTTCCACCTAATAATTTTTAGAAGCCCCCCCCAAGAACTGCCCTAATCTTGCAGTTTTCTAAACAATTTGTTCAATGAGAATATGACCAGTTATTGATACATTTGCAAATATCACACAAAAATCTCACCTTTTGATATGACTTGTAACTTAAAGAAGCGCATGACCAATGGGAATGTTTTTCAGGACCAATATTTGTGTTTGTGGGGTTCATAAAGTTACCTAAAGATTGTAATAAATAGTCTTTTTTTTTACTTTTATTATTATCTTGGTAGTACCACAAAAAGTCTCGATAAGACTTCAAGTCCGTTATTTCAATAATCAATTGATTCGATTAATCGTTTCAGCCCTGAAGCGCATTTATCAGTTATTGTAATTGATGGACGTCGTTTTGTCGTTTTTAGCTGTGGCAGGCGGAGCTTTCAGAACAAGAGGAGACCTTCCAGGCCCTGCAGGTCCAGCTGGGCCGGGCCAAAGCGGCGGGAGCCGAACTCGCGAAGCTGCATGTGGACCGCAGCCCTGAGCTGGAGCGCTACCAGGAGAGAGCCAATCAGATGGCGGAGAGGTGGAGCGGCGTCAAGCAGCAAACCGAAACACGGTAGGCGGCTCCGACTGCTGCAGAGGTTTCCTTCTGCTGGGTTCAAAATAATATATTTCTGATTCCTACTGGCTCAGGGACTTTTATCTCATACATTAGACAAAGTTATTTAAATTGGGGGATTTTTTGTTAAATTAGTGCTTTGTTTGGTGAGTGAGACATTTCATTTTATCATATTTTAGTTTCCTGTTCCTTCTGTAGAACATTATAAATAATAAAATATATTTATTATTTACTAATAGAAATAATAAATATCTTGTGAAATAGTGAAGTAAATTATCTTCTCATAGTTAATTTGTATTGTTTTTGTTTCCAAAGTGATGTTTGAAAAGTTTGAAAACGTTCCTTGAAGCTGCCTGATTTTTACCGTCGGAACGTCTGTGTTTGTCCCTGCAGGCGGTCGGACCTGGAGGTTCTGGGCTCAGCGCTGCAGCAGTACCGGCAGAACCACTCGGCTCTGATCCGGTGGATCGAAGAGACGACGGAGAGGCAGGAGAGCGCCCAGGCCGGACAGACGGACAGCAGGGCGCTGTCGGAGCAGCTGGCCCAGCAGAAGGTCCGTTCACCTCGCCTCGGAGCGCTGCCGGCGCCACCGGGCCGTCGGCTCACCGTTGTCACGGTTACATGTGTTTTCAGGCGCTGGTGGCTGAAATTGAGCAGAACCAGACCAAACTAGACGAGTGCCAGACTTACTCCAAACAGTACTGCGCCTCCGTCAAGGTGAGAATCCGTCCGTCCGTCTGTCCGGTGAGGCCGTTTTACATGTCAGTAAATTCCCATGATGCATTTCTTCTGTAGGATTATGAGCTGCAGCTGATGACCTACAGAGCATTTGTTGAGTCGACGCATAAATCCCCAGTGAAGAGGAGGAGGATGCACTCTTCGTCTGACGCCATCACTCAGGAGGTGACGAGCCGCTCGCAGTACAATCAATACGTTTTGTCGTATTGATTATGTATTGATATACCTGAAGTTTCCCGGTGAATCGTCGTTTTCTGGTGAACTTGTTTCCAGTTCATGGATTTGCGGACGCGCTACACGGCGCTGGTGACGCTGACCACCCAGCATGTGAAGTACATCAATGACGCCCTGAGGAGACTGGAGGAGGAGGAGGTCCGACCCGATTTCACCCCAGTAACAACCGAGCCCATCCGTTTGCCTCTCTTGCTAACCCTTCCTCCTCTCATCTCTCCGTCCCTGCAGAAAGAGGTGGAGGAGGAGAAGCAGGCCAGGGTGGGCCAGGTTTCAGAGCTGCTGGGCTGGGTCAAAGGTCTGCGGGGTCGGACCGGCGGCCCCAGCGCCGAGTCCTCGCTGGCGGCTCAGCAGGTAGCTCACGGCTCCGTAGCGGTGAAATGCTTTCTGAAAATGGCTCCTTACCCGATCTCGATGTGTTTCCTCTGAAGGCCATCAGCGATCAGCTGGCGGGGAGGAAGGAGCAGGTGGCCGAGGCCATTCGCAGCACGCAGGGCTTCCTCTGCTCCAAACAGGCCAGCAAGTACGATCGCACACCAATAAGCAGCTGTAATCACATTAAAATTAGCTCAGTAATTTCCATTCTGATTCGTATTTTTGGTTTATAGACTTCATAATCCTTTTTATTTGTTTTAGTTGTTTGTGGTTTTTATTTCCTCCATTATTTATTCTTTTGGTCCAGCTGCTGATATAGCCTTGCTACTTAAAGGTTCTTTTCAGTAACATTGTAAGATGAAAAGCTGATATTTGCAGATTAACTAACTTATCCTCTAACTATTCTAGTAACTGCATTAGTCATTGTCTCCAGGTTTGGAAAGTGAACGAAAAGTTCAGGTGCTTTATTTCTCTACTGTTTGAAACAGTTTGAGAGACTGTTTTGAAACATCAAAATCGTTATTAGGCGATGATTTTCTACCACTATATCACAAAAATCACATTTTAACTGTTTATTTTACATGCAGAAACATTCCTGTGACGTTTGGTCCTGCTGTTTTTCCAGGTTGTCCCTGGAGGAGCGTGCTGCAGTGGAGACTCAGCTGGGCGAGCTGACGGCCACCTACAACCAGCTTCTGGACAGCTCCACCCAGCAGCTGCAGCAGCTGGAGCAGCAGCTGGCCAGAGAGGAGGAGAGAAAGGTAGATGGGCTAAGAGCGAGGCGGAGAGGTTTACGACAGAACCGTGCTCCGGTTAGGACAGATTCAGGAGAAATAACTGAGGTTCTTTTAAAAGCTTCGAGTCTCAACACGCTTGCAGGCTAATGTTGAGTTTGTGGGTCGGCGAGAGTCTGTGTGTCAGCATGTTGTGTGTTCACCAAGAAAACATCGATTCGGTTTAACAAACATCACAGACGCTGTTCAGACACGAGCAGGGATTCAAAGCTGAAGAAGAAATTTAAGATCCACCGGGTTTTATCTGGAGTCTGAACCGCGTCTCTGCATGGAGTGATCCATCCTCACCTCATGAAAAACCCACAGTACTTCCTTTCATCTCCATTTTCACCACCATCATCATCATCATCAGAAAGCAAACACATGCTGAGCTGCTAACATGCAGGGCCTGAGTGGTGCAGCAGTAGATGCTCCAGTCATGAAAGCAGTCAAACACTGCAAAGACACAAAATCCCACCAAGTATCCAGTTCACATATCTTTGTGCACTTGAAGTAAAACTAACTTGCAAGTAAATTTTCAGCAAGAAATAGGAGATTGTTTTGAGCTTATATTGATTAAAAGGAGCTGGTTGCTCTTCATCAAAAGTTCTAGTTTTTTTTAGGAAAAACTAGAACTTTTCTATCAATATTATTGACCTAAAACAATCTCATTTATCCTAATGAAAAGTCTTTTGTAAGTTAGTATTGTCTTTGAAATTTGAGACGTAAGATATTTGCACTTCAGCCAAAAATACTTGGTAATATTTTGTTTTTGAAGTGTAGAAGCGGCAGAGTGATGCATCATTAGAAAGTTGATGCATCAGAGTAGAAACCCCTTCACCGTCATTCCTGTTGCTGCAGTAGAAAACCTGAAACTCCCCAGCATAAAGTCAAAGCTTCTCGCTTACATTTATCCGTTTAAATCTGTGAAAATGTTCGTCTCCTGGTGTTTGCAGTTTGTTGCAGCAGTCATTATCAGTTTGAGAATGTTCTTCCTGTTGATTTTTAAGAAAGTTTCTTGAAATTCTTAAGAAAATTTCTTAAAAGTCCAAGCTTCCCGCTTACGTTCTCCCATGTATGTGTTTAAATCTGTGAAAGTGTTTGTCTCCTGTTGTTAGCAGTTTGATGCATCAATCAAAATCGAATCGAATGTGTTTGAGAATTTAGTTCCTGGGTGATTTTGAGAACATTTCTTGCAGCGAGTCAGTGCACCTGAAGGCCAGCTGTGCAAGGCACCAACAAAAATACTCACCTCACCATTTGAGCATGTTGTGTCCAGATCACAAGAACGAGTGTGTGTGTGTGTGTGTGCCTGTGTGTGTGTGTGTGAAAATGGCATTTTATGTTTCTTCTAATGCATTTTATTAATGTGTGAAACTTTAAACGAGCGTTTGTGCTTGAAACTCACTAACAGCTGCCAGAGGAGAAATGTGGACATCACAAGCCGAGGATCAGAGAGAGAAATGGAAACTGAGGAGAGTTTTAAGTTCAGGGAGCAATCAAGGCCAGATGTTTTATAGCTTTATCATTCTCCAGGTATCTGTCTGAGCTTAGGGCTTAAAAGTTCACAAGAATGCAGGGTCATGTCAGTGTGGAGGAACTAACATGCAGAAAGCTAACAATCAGCTTGTCAGATGTCGCGCCGAGACGATCCCATACGGTAAGTAGCGCCCGCTTTCTCTGTTAATTTAAACAGCTTTGGTTCTTTCTCTTCCTCTGATTTCATCTCTTCCTTTCTTCTATACTTCTGCATTTCCACTCTGACTCTCCTCATTGTGGATTTGAATGTTGCATTAATTTTTGTCTTAAAGTCCTTAAATTGAATTAATTAAAAATACTCTGATTGTTCAGAAGATGGAGCACATCGTTTTTGTAGCCATCAGTAAATTTATGTAATAAATTCTGGCACTGCTCTTTGTGTGAGAGAGAGTGTTAGAATAAATCATTAAAGTCCAAAATTAATGCCCTTCATGTCCACGATTGGTTATATGTAAACTCACTCTGGAGCTTTTTCTGCATGTCTTGGTACAGTTTGCTTCTTGCATGCTTGGTGGTCAGTTTAGATTAAGATTCAACTAAATTGTTTAATACACTGAATTTGTGGCAGGTGGTGGTAGGTCTTTTTTTCTTATTCTTATATCTAATTAGTATATTTTAACACATATTAACAGAATAGTAGAAGTAGCTCTGAGTTTTGTAACCCTTTTATTATTTAAATCAGTCTGAACTGGATATTTGTTTCTTTTTCAGAACCGAGCTGCCATTGGAGGCGTGATCGACCTGGGAACCGTGGAAACCTTCCCGGTGTTTCAGGCGGCCCAGCGGGGTCTCATCGACCAGGACACCTGCAGCGTTCTGCTGGAGGCCCAGCTGGTCTCGGGTGGCCTCGTCCGACCAGACTCATCAAGGGTTTATTCATTGGATCATGGTCTAACTGAAGGCCTCATTGATGCTCACACCTGTCAGTCACTAGCAGAACTTGAGAGTGCCATGGAGTTGATAAAAGAGTCTGTAGGTGACCAAAAACTTTTGCCCGTAGCTGCAGCCATGGAGTCAGGGTTGATCACAGAAGAGGTTGGACTTCGTATTCTTGAACTTCAGATGAACAGTGGTGGACTGAGAGATTCAAGTGGAAAAATCATGAGTTTGGAGCAAGCAGAGGATATGAGAGTTTTGCCTTCCAGGATCTTAAACAAGCTTTACTCTAGAATTCAACACAAAGAGTTGCTTGATCCAAACACAGCTGAAAAGGTCAACATAGAAGAGCTGAAGCTTCGTTGCATTCCTGATGACAACTCAGGTCTCCTACTCCTTCCTGTCAAACAGCAGCCTGGAGGAACTGTTTGCCTCCGATCTGGAAGAAAAGTTGGCATCTTTCGCGCCGTCCAGGAGGGACTGATCGACCGGGCGGTTACCGTGAGGCTTCTCGAGGCCCAGCTATTCGCCGGTGGCATTAGTGACCCACGTTCTAGCCACCGGCTGACAATTGGTGAGGCTGTTCGTCATGGGCTTATGGACCAGGATTTAGCTTGTGCTATGTTAGCACGACAATTGCAGAATGGAGGGATTCTTGACCCGCTCAGTAGGCAACGTCTGGATTTAGAGGAGAGCATTTGCAGGGACCTTCTCTCCCCTCGTTTGGCTCTGTTGGTTCTTGAGTCTCTTTGGACTTTTACAGGACTCCTTTGGCCTGAATCTGGAGAGCTGATGCCCATTGCAGAGGCTCTTCAACAAGGGGTGATATCAGGTGATCTAGCAAGAAACATCTTAAGGCAGAGACATGCCGTTGGAGGACTGTACACTCCAGATACCCTCAAAGTGTTACCACTTAATCAAGCTGCAGAAGAAGACCTTGACTCTGATGTTGTAAGATGTCTCAGAGACATTCACATACCAGATGTTCTCTACAGCATGAACCAGTCTGGTAATCCATCTCTAAACCGCCTGAGCTGGGGATCGACCAGCTCCTCTTCTCCGCCTCTATCATCTCCTACAGGTTTCATGTGTGAAGCTTCACCAACTGATAGGGTCGATCCTGAAGTTCAAGCCAAAGACAAGCTTCTCTTTCACCTCATGACTCACAGCTATGTGGACGCACATTCTGGAAAAAGGCTGGTGCTCCTCGACCAAGATCTGGTGCTCAGAGTTAAAGGCTCTTGCTTGGCTGCAGGAGAATCAGGTGAAGCCGAGTCATCAAACAAGTTGGCTGGAGATAAACTGCAGAGTTTGGGCAGTGGGGAAAATGTCATAATGCCAAATGAAGCAGAAGAACACTGCTCTGATTTGGAAACTTCAGTAGATAACTTTGAAATGATGAATACAAATGGAAAGAACATCAGACTACCACAGAAGTTACCTGAAAACAGAGATGGTCTTTCTGATCCTGAACCTTCTGTTTACACAAAAGCACATGAAGAAAAAGAAGAAGGGCCCAGTTTGCAAAGTGAAATGTTTTCAAGGAACTATCAAGAAGGAATAAAACACAATGCCAATGCTGTAGGTGGAACCATTCCTCGACATCTTGAGGTCAAAGATACAATCACAAAAACATCTTTTGAATTGGAGGAAGTCATTAAAAGTGGGACGCAGCAGGAACAAATGCCAAAAGTAAAAGAAAGTAAGGAGGTAAATCTGAGAGAGGCTCAAGAATTCAAAGGTACAAAAATTTCTCCAACCAATTTAGCAAGTGTGTCTGAAACAGACGTTGACTTCAAGGGATCAGAGACTGTAGTTGATGAACCATCGATGGAAGAGCAATGGGAGGAAGCTGAGTTTGAGAGATTGGTCCTGGAGCTCAAACAGGGAGGACTGATGACAGAGGATGGAGAGAAGCTGCTGCCAGATGAAGCAGTTGCTCAAGGTGTTCTTCCTGGTCATACAGCAGTTAAATTGATGGCTCAAGCAGGCCTGTTTGGGGGATTCCTAGATGCCACCAGTGGGGAGTCACTGAGCTTGGAGGAAGTGATGCAAGAGGGCTTACTAGATGAGGATCTTATGTGGGGTGTCCTGAAGTCAGATAAAACCCTTGCCGGTGTTGTGGACATAGAGAAAGGTCAGATCTGTGGTGTGAGAGATGCAGCTCAGGCTGGACTAATTGATCCTAACACTGCTGCTCGACTCCTAGAAGCCCAGGTTGCATCTGGAGGAATTGTCGACTTACGCAGGGATAAGAAAGTCTCTGTCACATTAGCAGCAAACCTGGGTCTAATTGAAGAAGACCAAAGAGAAGAACTGATTGCTCTTGAAAAGGCTTTCAAAGGAAAGGATACAGACTCTGCAGCAAGCCTCAGAAAAGCAAGTTTACAGCTGCAGATGGAGGGTGTTGTCGACCCTGAATCCAAGACTGCAGTTCCCTTAGAACAAGCAATTAAGAAAGGGTTAATTCGATCTGATGAGGCATATCAGGTGTTGGCAAGACAGGTGGCTGAAGGTGGCATAATCCACCATGCTTCAGGAATGAGACTCTCTGTCTCTGATGCTGTAGATAGAGGACTGGTGGACCGGTCTATAGCTCCTGGGCTTGAGGAACTAGAATGGATCTATCAAGGAAAAATCAGTGCCTCAACCAAACCAGAAGCAATTGCTTTCCAGGCAACAACCGGAGGCATTTTGGATCCTGACAATGGAGTTAGGTTGACACTGACAGAAGCTGTGTCGAAGGGTCTTCTAGATGACAAGATGGCCACTGAAGCCATGGCTTCTCCGGTGGTGACACAGGGAACAATTGACCCAAAAACTGCACAGATTGTGCCTTATTCAGAACTTGTGAGTCAGGGTAAGATTGATATTGAAACAGGCAAACGCTTCCTGGAGGTGAAGCCCTTCCAAGGTGTTCAAGATAAGCAAACCTTGAAGACCCTGACCCTCCCAGAGGCTGTTTCTTTGAAGTGCGTTGATCCAGTTCCAGCTGTAAGGTTGCTACAATGCCAGGCAGACACTGGTGGGATCATTGATATCTACACTGGAGAGAGGCTCCCACTTCCTGAAGCTTCTGCCAGAGGTTTAGTAAGTAGTGATATGGTCAAAGAAATAGCCACCAACCAGTTTGTCAAAGGAGGTTTGGTTGATCCAGCAACTGGACAGCGAGTGTCAGATCTTAGTGATGCCATCACTTCCCGGCTGTTGATGAGAGACCTGGCTTTGGAGATCCAGGAGACACTAAAGGAAAACTTTCCAGATGACCATTTTACAACTGTTATAGCTACTGGGCCGGGAGCTGACAGTCAAGCAAGCATGTCTGCTGCAAACATTAGGACATCCTCAGGATCTCCATCTACTGTTCGAGGTTTAGAAGTTACGCACAATTATGACGAGACTTTCAGAAGTGAAATTTCAGATCAGTCACCGTTGCATCCCGAAGATGAGATGGTAGCAGAAATGGAGCCTGAACAGTCAATGGATCTGTTATCCAAGTTTGCATCTAATGTTGAAAAAAGAATCCAGCAAGCCATTCAAGAGATACTGCCACAAAAACTGGATAATCAGCATCAACAAGAACCCAGGGACAAAATGGAGAATGAGGGTGAACAAGGGGAGAACTTAACCAGAGGTTTTGTAAAAGAATCCACTCAGGTAATAATCGATCGTAGTGACGAGGTCCAAAAAGAAGATGCCCAGGAGACAGAAAAAGATGAGTACATGGTGTGTGGACCCACTGAGAGCACAGTAATGGTCCATCATGGGTCTGAAGACGTGAAGTCAGAAGAAATTATAGTCGACAGAGAAACCAAAGATCCCAGATGCTTCCCAGGGTTTCCAGCAGGGAATGAGGACCTTAAGTCTTTACAGACCAAAAGCTGCACTGATGTGGAGCAGTCAGATCAATTCTCTTCTTCTGCAACTAAAGAGTCAGACAACAAAAGCAAAAAGAAGAGGAAGAGTAAAAAGAAGGCAAGAGGGAAAGAAGTAGAAACTGAAACTCATCTTGCAGAGATGAAACATGATCTTCAAAGTCATCACACCAGTCCAGAAACCAAAGAGATCCCACAGGTTGCTCCTGTTGCCACTGAAGAAATGACATCAGATGCAAATGTGCAGAAGTCAGACTCCTCCCTTCCAATTGCTACTGACCCTTCCTCTGACGAGAGAATGAAAAGGACTGAAGAGAAAGTAGAGACTGAAAATGTTTTGGGAGCTCAGGAGCAGGAAGCGGTTCTTCATGAACCAAACACTGAGATGGAGGAAGATGTAACCAGGACAATATTAGGTAGAATGCGAGAGAATGTTGACATGAAGGCAGAGGAAGAGGAATTAACGATGGAGCAGGAAGAAGTTTCTCTTAAACCAAACACTGAGATGGAGGAAGATGAAGCCAAAGCAATGTTACTAAAGTCTTCACAAGACGTTTCTAAGCAGGAAGCGGTAAAAAAGGAATCTATGGAGAAGACTTTGATTGCTGGGCAACTGGAAATGCCAGAGGTGCAGAAGAGCATAGAAGCAGAATCTCTGACAAAGTCAAGTCTTAAAGAGGATGAAAAAGCAGCCTTGATTCTGAAAGCTAAAGAGAGCATCCTTAAGAAAGTGTTTGAGAAGGGAGTGAGTGAAAAACAAGCAGCACAAGAGCTGGAGGCGCTGAGGAAGAAGAACCAAAGTAAAATAGGCGATAAGAAGACAGAAACTAACAGTGAAGAAGGCGACGCTGACAGGAGAAGCTTTGCTTTACCGAAAGACCATAAAGATCAAGTAACTGTGAAAAAGGAACCCACAGAGCTGCAGAGAACACCTGGAGAAATTCCTGCAGTTCAAGAGACGCTTGGAAAATCTTCAAGTGAAAACATCAAGGCTAAGCAGAAAGATGTTGAGACTCTTCAAACAGTCTCAAAAAGTAGGAGAAACAAGAGGAGCAAAAAGCTAAAACCAACTGGAGATAAACCCGAGATAGAGAAGGCACCCACAGATCTGAAAGATCCAAAATACACGACAAAATCTCTTCTTGAACCGGAGTCAGGCGGCACAGTTTTGAAGGAATACTTGAAGGTGAGCACTGATGATGATGATCAGGCAGCTGGAGCAGCTATCAAGAAATCAAAGAGTATAAAACCAACCAAATATCAGCTTGAGTTGGAGAATGTAACACCAGATGGGAAAATGGTTTCTAATGCAAAACAACAGCCAGAAAGCAAAATTTTGACTGAAGATCTAAATGTGAGCACTGATACTGATGATCAGTCAACTGGTGCAGCTACCAAGAAGACAAAGAAAAAACCCACCGAGATGGAGAAGTTAACATCACATATAACAGATCCAGAAAATACGACAATTTCAGCTGCAGAACCAGAGTCAGATGGAAAAGTTTTGACTGAAAACGTGAAGGTGAGCACTGATGATCAGTCAGTTGATGCAGCTACCACGAAGCCTAGAAGTCTGAAACCATTTGAAGATCAGCCTGAAATGAAGACGGCAACTTCACATCTGAAACATCCACAATCTGCAACAAAATCAGCTGCAGAAATGGACAGCATCGTTTTGACTGAACACGTGAAGGATATTGATCATCATTCTATTGTTGCAACTACCAAGAAGTCAAAGAGTCAAGACGATCAGCCAGAGGTGGAGAAGCTAAAGCCAGGTGAGAAAATGGGTTCTGACCTGAAAGATCTGAAAATTACCTCAAAATCTGGTGCAAAGCAACAGCCAGAAAGCAGAATTTTGTCTGAAGACCTAAAGGTGAGCTCTGATGACGATCAGTCAGTTGGTGTAACTACCAAGGAGCCGAAGAGTGAAAAACCGGCTGAAGAGAAAATCACCTCCGATGGAAAACTGGATCCTGACCTGAAAGATATAAAAATAACCTCAGGATCTCATGCAAAGCAACCAGACAGCAGATTATTGTCTAAAGATTTAACTGTGAGCACTGATACTGATGTTCAGTCAGTCAGTTACCCTACTGCACCGTCAGATGTTGGTAAAGCCAGTCAGAAAGACCCTGAAGGAGTCAAAAGTCTCCAAACAAGTCAGATCGAGCGATCTGCAGGATTACAGTCAGACCAGAGTGACTTGACAGATTTATCTCAGGAGGTTTCCAGCAAACAGGAGAGGAACTCCTTGACTCAACCTGCTGCTCCTGACCCACATTCTGAGAAAAGCGAAAGGAAGGAAAACCTGCAGCCACCTGCAGCTGAAAACTGTGATGTTTCTGAATCTTTAACAAACCTGCAGCAACATCTGGATTCTCCAGAAACTGCTGCTTTATCTAAAGAAGATGCTTCAATTGAATCTGAATCTGTAAAAGTGACTGAGGTGGATCTGAGCAATGAGAGCCGAGAAGACGAAGAAAAAGTTTCCAAGAATCAAGAAACTCTGTCGACCAAAGAGGAAGCACAGTCCACAGGAAGCAAGGTACAACGAGGCTTTGCTTAGATTCAGCTGCAGATATGAATATCTGTTACTCTTTGGATGTAAAAATGTAAAAATGTCTCCCTGCAGTCATCATTGCGACAGGAATGTCTTGAACATGACCAGCGAATCGTAGCGCTGCTCTCCATGGTCCGACACGTTGAAGTCCGACTAAAACAAGAGCAGCAGCAGTCGGTGGGCCGCAGCCTCGTCACGTTGGACGGCATCATCAACCGGACTGAGGTAAAGTACTTTGCTTATTTCCCATAGTTAGAGAAGCAGTTTATGGATTAAAACCCAACAGAATCAAACGTTTGTTTTCCTTTTCTAATCCTCTCGCCAGATGCTGGACCTTGAACTCTCCGACTTGGAGCCTGAGATAAACAAAGAAGTTGAAGCTGCAGATCGACTGTTGAAGCTCAGACCGACCGACGTTCCTCCGCAGCTCCTGCTGGCCTTGGAGAAAGATGGGCGGAGCTTAGCGCGAGCTTACGAAGCGGCTCGGTCGCTCTCCCAGAGCGTCCTGCAAAGTCTGCGGGACCACAGAGACTCATGCAAGGTAAGAGATCCAGACAGCAGCGGATGGAAGCGACAGGAGAGGCTGCATCGCTCACAGGTTGGTTTGAACTGTTTCAGGACGCAGTGGCAGCTGAGCAGAAATGTTTGGGGCAACATGTGGACAGGCTGCTGTCCTGGTTGAGTGAGACAGAGGCTCAGATGGACGGAGACACGGCGGGGAAGGATGGGTTCACTCAGCAGCTGGATCTCTGCAAGGTGAGCTCAGACAAACATCCAAAATATGGAGGCCATTAACAAAAACTTCAAGCTGGAAAACAAAAGATTTGAAAATGAAGAAAAACCTTAATCTAAAACGACATTTTGAACTTTTCTTTCAGTTTAAATCTTTTTTTTTTTTCGGAATTGTTTTCAATTTTGAGATTTAGTTTGTTTTTAATGTTTTTTTGAAACAAAAAAAGATTTGAAATTAGAACATTTAAATGTTTCACTTTCAATTTTTTTTTCCACTTTAAAAAATTCCTCAAGTTTCAGAATTATTGTTCAGTTTCAAGAAGCATTTTCAGTATCAAATGTTTTGTTTTCAATATTTTTGGACAAACTTTACGTCCAAAGTTTCAGTCCAAACGTCTCCGTGACGTAACCGTCCTTCACTGACCCTGCATGCGCCTCTGCAAGGTTTTCTTCTTGTGGTTTCTGGATGGAAGAAACGAATTGCTTCCCCCGATGTTTTCATTCTTTCAACCGATGTATTTGTATGATGATCTCAGATTCTCTGTTAACATAACATTTCTCTCCACCTGAAGGAGCTCCGGTCTTCACTCTCGACTCGCTCTGACGAAGTCAGCAGCCTGGTCTCCGACATCCAGCTCTTCATCTCTGAGCGCGCTCAGGACCTGTCCCCCGAGCAGAGCAGGCGGCTCCTGGAGCAGCTGCAGCAGCTGCAGACGGCCTTCCACCACACGTCGAGCCGAGCCGAGGCCTGGGCCGGCACTCTGTCCGCTCAGCGCGGCAGGGAGGAGGAGGAGAGGCGGAGACGAGAGAGACGGAGGGAGGAAGAGGACAGAGAAAGGAAAAAAGCGAGGGAGAGAGAGGTTTGGAAGGAAATGAACGGGATTCAGTTGTTGCTCTCCTCGCTTTCACCTGCATTTAACTCTGAACAAGCTTTCAGACTTCATTTTCTACCCACTAACCTCCATTTAGCCCCTTTACAAACCATCCAAACCTGAAGGATTATTTTGTTTCCTTTAACGGTTGTGTGGAGAACTTATGAATCCTCAATATCTTACTGGAAGTAAAAGTACAAATAAACAGTGTACTCTAGTAAAAGTACCACATCAACATTATAACTTGAGTAAGTATCTGCTTTTAAAACTTCCTAAAGTATTGAAAATGAAAGTACCTGTTGAGTATAGTCTTTAGAACATGTCAAACTGAAGGTCTGGGGGCCAAATCAGGGCCAGCAAACCTTTTTATGTGGCCCTTGAGTCTCTAAAGGGCCTCATAAAGGGAATCAACAGTTGCTGGTTGTAATTTCCAAACTATTTTGACACTTTATAGCGAGAAAATGGTAAACTTTTAGCTTAGTGGTCAGAGTGTGCAGAGCTCAGATAAATGATGAAACGAGCTCCATCTCACACTCTACAAGGCTACGTTAAAGGTTAAAGGTCATGACAGGACAGTTAAAAAAGCCCTGAACCAGTTTGGATGTTTGGTAGGGAGGAATTCGGAAGTCTCTTCTCTAAAAGAGATGGCAGCAGAACTCAGTTTATCAAAGCTTCATCTGAATGAAGGACCAAAGTCTCATGCTGCAGAGCTGTGGCCTAGTCAAAGTCTGGACATTAAACCTGAAAGACTTTAACAGAGGTGTTCTCAACACAACCCCGCCCCTGTAAACCCCGACGCTGCCGCTGCTCACTGTGTTTGTCCTTCCCTGCACGTCTGTGACAAAGTGTGTTTTATTAACCTGTTTGCGTTGCTCTTCCAGATCGCCACAGAAGAAATCGCTTGCATCACCGCGGTAACGACTACCAAAAACCATCTTTCTGGCTCCGGCGCTTCACTGTTCTTCCTCCTGTCTCACTCTGAACCCAGAGGAAGAGGAGGAAAAACAAACAAATACATGTTTTGATTTCCCTTTGTGTTTTTAAGTCTGTGTGTGTGTGTGTGTGTGTGTGTGTGTGTGTGTGTGTGTGTGTGTGTGTGTGTGTGTGTGTGTGTGTGTGTGTGTGTGTGTGTGTGTGTGAGAGTGATTTCTGGACACAATCTGCTCAAAGCTTGGCCAAGTGTGAACTTCATGAGTTATGTTTAGTTGTTTCTGCCAGAATCAGTGAGGAAACGTTCAAAATGCTTTTGCCGCCCTCTGCTGGTCAGGTTGATGATGTTGGGTTCCTCATGGTTTTGTGTGTTTTTCTCTGCTGCCTCGTCTCTCTCAGGTGGTGCAGCAGCAGAAAGCAGAGTGCTCTCAGACGCTGGAAGGCCTCAACGCGTGGTTGGCCGGAGCCGCAGGCCTGCTGGCCAATCAGAGGGCTGGACCGGAGTCAGGTGACGTCGGCGCCCTGCAAGAGAGGCAGAGAAAGCTGAAGGTAAAGAATGACGGCTCACATTAACCTCACAGGGTCCAAACAAACTGCAGTTTTGTAATAACGAGAAATCTAAGATAAAGTTTGGAAACATTAAAGTTGAAACCAAACATTTTCATTCACCTAATAGAGATTTTATTCCCCACTGACTGAACTTTTCCTGTTCAATTGTAAGAAAAATTCACTTTTATTTCATACATGAACAAAGTTATTAGAATTTTGGGATTTTTTTGTCAGGTCTATAGGATGTGGGAAGGAGACATTTCAAAACTAAGTCTGTATACGACTAATGACGATGAACCGATTAATCATTTTAGTCCTTGTTTGATTTTCTTCCCGGCTCCAGGAGGTGCAGAGGGACCTACAGGCGAAAGCTGACGGCGTGGCTCAGGCCATCCGGTCGGCGGAGGAGTTTCTGGCAGAGAAAGGAGACGGTCTGAGCGCAGAGGAGAAGAAGAACCTCCAGGTGGCGCTGGAAAGACTGAAGGAGCAGTACGCCGCCCTGACGGAGTCGGCCAACACGTCGCTGTCAGAACTCGACGCCGCCATCAGTACGACGGTACAGCAGAACACACAGAGGGTGAGAGCCGAGCCCCGACGTCCAGGCTGACGCTGCACTGCAAAAAACTACATTTGACCAAATATTTGTTTAATTTCTAGTGCAAATACCTTATACACCTGAAACAAGACAAAACGAACTTATTACAAGTAATGAAACTATTTTGCAGCAAAGTTGTTTTCATCTTAACTGCAAATCTATTTGTATTTCATACTGTTTTGGATAAATTAGTGCTCTGAATATGTGGGTTTTTCAGAAAGTTGCCTGTTTTGAATCCAGCTAATGATTAATTGATTACCAATTCAATGGATTCAATAATTTAATAATTACAATCTAATTGATTCTGTCCTAATTACTTTGTTTTATTTAAATAATGCTTAAAAAATGGTCAGTATTTATTATTTTAAGTGTAGTGAATTATTTCCAGTAGACACTAGCTTGGTAAGATTTGTGTTTTTCAGTGTTTTTCAGTCTTTCCTTCTGGTCTGCAGGCGAAAGCAGTGGAGGAGCTTCAGGAAACCCAAAGCCAGATCGACTCCCTGCTCTCCTCCTTCAGCCGACTGGACCGGATCGCAGCGCCGCTGGATGTGCCGGACTCTTCCGCTTCGCCACCGGAGGGCGCTCTGGAGTCGCACACGGAGACGCTGCAGGTTGATTCCTGTACTTTTACTTTTAGGTTTGGTATTTTCAGTGATGTCAGTTTTAACCGGTGAAACTCGACTGTCCGCTCGCAGTCGGAGCTGCAGCAGCTGCAGGCTCAGCAGGCGCAGCTGCTGCAGATCAGCCAATCAGCTCGCTCCCTGCTGGAGCAGCCCGACTCCACGGTTCCCCCCGAGGAGAAGCAGCGGCTCCGGGCCGCGCTGGACCGGCTGCAGGCCCAGCACCAGGACAGGCTGCACAGCTGTCAGGTATAAACACTTGAAAAATACGTTATGGACATTAATAAGTTGTTTACAATTTGTTACAGTTTTTATTTTGATATTATTTGGGTTTCTTGTTTTTGAAGAAACTTTTCATCCTTTTTTTTGTTTCAAAATATTAATCTATTAAATTATTGTAAACAGAGGAAAGTGTCCAGTTGAAAAAAAGAAAAATAAATATTAATTTGAATGCAATTTACTAGCATGATATTTATTATTAAAACTCAAATTTAATAGAAATTATTACTGTTTTTACTTTCTTTCTCGCCTGCGTTCCCACAGATGTTCTCATCCTTTTCCGCTGCTTTAAGTCTCGTATTTTAGTAAATATTTTTGGTTTCAGGAGCGTCTGAGGAAATCTGCGGCTCTGCAGGACGAGCTGACCAAATTCCTGCAGGAACACGGAAACCTGGGCGCCTGGCTGGAACTAAGTGAACAGGAGCTGCGTTCTCTGGGGGAAGGAGAAACTGACGCGCAGGGCCTGAAGGACAGGCTGGAGCAACACAGAAAGGTGCAGCAGAAACAGATTTCACTCCATCTTAACGCTTTTAATGTTAATGAGACGGATTTATGAGCGATAAGCTTTGCTCTGTTTCCTGAAAATGAGTCAGAAATGTCCAGAAATGCTGCTGGTTTCTGAGAAGTAGCTCCAGTTAGCAGCACTTAACCGGGATGTTTTCCCCGTTAATCATGCATTAAGCCTCCGATAAGCTATCAGAGTTCTCCATCCGCAGCCAAATAGTTTGGGATTATTTTCCTAAAATGCCTCCAAATCAACATGTTTCCTTTAAATCACATTTTTCCCACAGACTTTCGCTAACTCCAGATTCACACGGAGGCTTGAAATCCTTAAAATCTTTGAATTTCAATGAAGCGTTTTCAATGAAAGGTTTTTTTTTCTACTTTGCATATTGTGTTGAAAGCATTTAATTTGAGCATGAAGGTCATTTACCTTTAACATTATTTATTTGTATCGTTTCAATGAAGTTAATACTTTTCATCTAAAGTCGGCTTGTATTTTAAATCTTAACGTTATTAAAATTTGGGAGTTTTTGTTAGATTTTGTTCAATTCTGTAAGAGAACCATGAAAACATAAAATGATATTTCAGGAGTTGGAGCCGTTAAACGTCGTCTTTGTACCAAATTCAACGTGTGGTTTGCTGTGAACGTGTTTCTTCCCAGCTGGGCGAGGATGTAATCTGCCACAAGGCCGACCTTCGCTTCGTCTCCATCTCGGGCCAGAAAGTTCTGGACTCGGTTCAGGGCGCTCTGGAGCAAGCTGGAGGTTCTGACCCGGCTCTGAACGGCATCAAGCAGCTCGTCTCTGACAAGCTGCAGGACGCCAACCACAGATACACGACGCTGCACACCAAGGTGAGGAGCTGCGCCACGTTCTGCTTCTGGCTCACGTTTTTTCTCGCTCCGTTTTAATAAAAACGTTTGGTTCAGTCCACAGAGCTGGGCGGCCGTTTGGGGGGCCTGTTGGAGCGGTACCAGCAGTACCAGGACGAGGTGGTGTCCATTCATTCCTGGCTCAACGCTCACGAGCAAAACCAAAGCATAGCCAAGTCCAGCGGAGACACGGATCCGCAGAACCTCCAGAACTCCCTGCGGCAGGTTCAGGTGCAGAACCAAGGCTTTCACAGAACAGAGAGCAGTTCCTCCAGGCGTCAGCGTCGCAGCTTTTAATGCTGATGAATCATGATAACAAATTCTGCTGGACGATAAATCGTCCCAGAAGTTAACATTCAGTCAGAGCAATTATAACAACCAATAAGGAAAAAACATTTTCAGCAAAATGCAGGAGCTTGTGTAAATAATTCCTAAATATTAATGAAATGGTTGCACTGGTGTGTGTGTGTGTCTGTGTGTGTGTGTGTGTTTGTGTGTGTGTGCGTGTGTGTGTGTGTGCGTGTGCGTGTTTGTGTGTGTGTGCGTGTTTGTGTGTGTGTGCGTGTGTGTGTGTGTGTGTGTGTGTTTGCAGCTGCTGCAGGATGAGCTGGCCGAGCGCTCAGTCCAGCTGGAGAAGGTGAAGCGCGCAGGAAGAGATCTGGTCAGCGCCGACGAATCTCCGTCTCTGAAAGCCGTGGACATCCTCTGCGCTGCAGGTGACGCCATGTTCTGGACTGACTCTCTTCTTTTCTTCTTCTTCTTCCTCGTCTTCTTCTATTTGAGTGGCTAAGCGTCTCTTCGCCTTGCAGACGGGTTGGAGAAGCGGTTCGGCAGCCTGTCTGCGTCGGTGTCAGAGCGGGCCGAGCAGCTGCAGACGGCCGTGGCGCAGTCCGTCAGCGTTCAGGAGGGACTGAAGGGCCTGCTGGGCTGGCTGGACCAGCTGGTTCTGAACCCCGGACCGGTCCAGCCCACCGCCCAGGCCGTGCAGGACGCACTGACCCAGAACCAGGTAGGAGCTGAGGGGGTGAAAAACACTGAGCAGAAATAAAACGACAGAACCGATGGGGAGGAGGCCATGTTTCAGTTTTTATGACTTAAATTCAGAAATATGGAAATTTCTGATAATTTCTGTCAGTAACAAACTCAGGAAGTCATGTTGACCCTTCACAATAAAACTTTTTTCTAGATGCACCTGAAGAAATTTACTGGATGTTGTCATCCATCCATCCAGATGATGGATTACTTTGTTGTTTCCTCTCTTTTCCCCAGAAACTTCGCCAGGAGCTCCTGTCCAGGCAGGGCAGCGTGGACGCCACACGCGACGCCGTCTCAAAGCTCCTGCAGAGCTCCGACGCCTCCGCGGCTCCCGGCCTCCATGGCAGCCTGGACGACCTGACCCGGCGCTACGCCGCGGCCCAGAGCAGCCAGGCGGAGCGGGAGGCCCAGCTCAAGGGGCTGCTGCCCCGGCTGGAGAGCTACGAGAGGCTGAGCGCCGACCTGCAGGCCTTCACCCAGAGCAGACTGAGGGCCCTGAGTCCCGCCGGACAGCCGGACCGCAGCGTCCACGACTACAGGCAGACTGTCGAGGTCAGCGGAGTTCTCCTCCTCAGCAGAAGCTTTCTTCTTCGTCGCTGTTCTAACTTTTTCCATCGTTGTGGTTCCAGGAGGTGAAATCTGAGCTGGAGCAGGAGGCGGGCCAGCTGAAATCCTTCTGCAGCCTCGGCGCCGAGCTCAGCCAGTCCGGAGCGCTCAGCGACACCCAGAACCTGCTGGAGAACGTCAGAGATGTGACCGATGAGTTCACCAAGCTGGAGGAAAACGTCAACGAAAGGTAAACACCTTATAAAATACAGCAGGGGGCGCCAGATACACATCAGCCTCTCGTCTGCTGAATCTTTACACTGTAAAACCAAATTATTATTAACAAGTAATTCAGTCTGGATTCTAATGCAAATATTCATCATGATGAATAATGATCAACTAATTAATTAATCAGTATTTATTTATTCAGACCCAAATAAAGAACATTCATGAAAAAACAACATAATTAAACCAAAATTGTACAAAATAAGTATTAATATTGCACTAAAGATAAAACAGATGATTTAGCCAAAACTACTCAAGCCATCGAGTTTCAGTTTCAAATAAATTCCATATTTTAGGCAATTAAATGTTTATTTTCTTGTTTATAAAAGGAATTGATTGTTTAATTGCATCTTTTAACGCATTTCTAATATTGTATAAAGCTATAAAATATTTGTAGAATGTGTCAGCTTCTTTTATTCAATTAATCGATCGATCAATAAACTAATCGATAACTAGAATAATCATTACTGCATTAGACCAAATCAGATGTCAGATGATCAGATGAAGTTTGAAACTTAAAATAAAATCTGTTTTCTGACTTCCTGGGCTCTGTGAACCATGCCTGACGGCGTCTCGGGGAGACCAGCAGCCGTCTGCAGACGTGTTCGATTAAATTTCCGTGTTGCGAGACCATCTTGTGACCGGATCTGCTGCTGGACGGGGCAGAACGCGGTCTGGTGATGCCGCGCTCCAGATGCCGTTTCACAGCTGCTCCGTTTGCGTTTGTGCTTCTCTGTGCTAACGAAGACGGCAGGAACACGGCTCACTGTCTGTCCCGTAAACGGCCGCGTCGGGTCACCCGCGGCCTCGGATGCCAGAGGAGAGAAAATAGCAGCGCGGTAATGACAGCTTCTCAGGGCCGTTTGGGCCACAGAGGGTCTGAGCCGCTCGGCCTCATACTTCCACACACATTACACGCAAAGCGGCAGAGGTCAGGGCTGCGCTAATGATGCCTCGCGGCCTTGAAAAAACACTTTATAGTTTGTTTTTCTCTTTGCAGAATGGAAAGAAAAAATGCCTTTGGAAACCCGGTTCAGACATGAGCTTCTTAGAATAAACCGGACTTTACCAGAAACTCTGACAACAAAACAAACCCTGGAGTGGTGCTGAGGGATAGATGGTCTTAGTGAAGCTCATCTACCCGTATTTACAGGAAGACCAGCTGCACACTCAGGGCTGCAGCCAACAGTTATTTTATCATCAGTTATTCTGATGTTTAATTGCATATTTTAATTGAAAAAAAAGTATTTTATTGCAGAAAATGCAATGACGCCTTTTCCTCTAGTCAGTGAAAGATTAATCATTTGTACCAATTGATTAATCTGCAGTTGAAAAATAAAATTGTGTTTAAACTTTAAATAAACCCTTTCTGCTTGACTTGACATCAACAGAGAGTAGGAGCCAATTTAATGATTATTATTGTTGGATTCACTCATTAATAACTGTATAGAAAGTGATGCTTAGTTTGAGATTTTGTTTACAGAATTTGAACCAGGTGAAACTAAATCTGCCTTTTGAGTTCTGGGCAGAACAAGAAGAGCTTTTATTTGAAACATTAATCTCTACAGTTTTGACCTCATTGTTGTTCTTCCAGCAGATGGAATCTAGCTAATAGCATTCCCTTGTTAATGAGGGTTTTTTCACACCAGTCCGCTGTAATCAGACTCTGATTGGTTGGTTTAAATAGAGCAGTTTGTTTGGTTTGGTTCAAACTTTGGTTAATCTACAAACTGGGTTTGGTGCTGGTGAACTCTAGTGTGGTTTAAAGGCTCATGTTAACACCAAAAGCCAGATACTGTTCCAAAAGCAGGATGCATTCTGGGAAAATGCATCTGAAAAATGCATTAGAGTTATAAGTGGAGAAATGTCTGAAAAGAGAGAAATCTGATGCTACTCCATATTTGCTGACATTTTGTGAAAAAGGAAGTTGCGCTCAGCATCTTTTGTAGAAGTTTTTGTGTCGTTTCCTTCAGTGGTTCTTGGTGCAAGAGGGGAACTTGTTCCTCAAAGGGTGCAGTTGGTTTGACAAAGAACAGCAACAGCTGAAAATGCGATTTTGGTATCTAGTAGAACCGAGTCTATCGGACTATCGGGTGTGAAAACTCTTTGTCTCCTGTTTCCCGTCAGGTTTGCTGCCGTCCAGGCCTGTGAGCAGCAGCTCCACCAGTTTCGCGGCCTGTCCGGCTCCCTGGCCCGCTGGCTGCAGACGGCCCAGGACCAGCTGCCCTCCAAGGAGGCCAACCTCAACACCGAGGGTCTGCAGAGGCGGGTCCAGCAGCTCCAGGTGTGCGATAAAAAGCCGGGATGTTTCAGGAGCCGTAAGGTGTCATCGATGTTTGGGTGAGTAATGAGGAAAATGTTTTCAGGACTTACTGAATGACTGGGAATCCCAAGGATCCAGAATCCAAGACCTGAACAAGACCGGTTCCGAGTTGGAGTCGCTCATCATCGACGTCACAACTCCTCAGACCAAAACTGGTAAAGATGGATGGAGCTAGAAACAATCATTCCTCTTCCAGGACTGAAACTGTGTTTTTCTCTGATGGCGTCCCTCTGCTCCTCTCCAGGAGTTCCTCAGATCAACGGTTCTGCCGGTCCCAGCAGCGTCAACGGCATCCACACCTGCAAAGGTGAGGCCCGGGTCGGGCAGGTCCTCCCTGCAGCATCAAATCAGAATCTGCAGCACAAACTAAATCTAATCCAACTGTCTAAAAAAGTGGGAAAATTTAGAGGATTGGCATTTTAATTTTTCGGGCATGGATGATTTGACAGAAAAAATATATAACATAGAACAAAACTTTTTCATAAAACTTCCATTAATGAAAGACAAAAATCTAATACTGCTCAAAAAATGTTTTAATTAATGTTGAAACAGTGGCTGCATCCTTAAACAGTCTTAAAAAGTCTTAAATTAATCTATCTAAAATTAAGGCCAATTTGCAAGTTGGCCTTAAATTTTGTTAGGATTATTTGATCCAGGATTATTTCATTTTTTGTCAGGTCTGAGTCTCATTCAGACATCTGTGTTCAGATTGTGTTCTGTGGCTACTGCTAACTAGCTAATAGCCTTGCTAGCTTGCTCGCTAGCTTTTTGTGTCCATCATGGATGATTGACATGACATCAGAAGCTACAAACGAAGGCGACAGGCGAAAGTTGGACTGCGTTTACATGTTTGAGCAAAAAGTTTCAGATGCATGAATGTTGTTGGCAGCTTGGCTGGAGGAGGGTTAGCGACTGATGCCTCATCGGGTTAAAGGTTCAGGAAATGAGCTGAGTGAGAAAAAGACACAAAAAGACTCCAGAAATGTTGCTACTTTGCTGATGTTTGAATCCTGCAGGTCTCCCAACCATCTCATATTTACAGGGTTTTGATCTTAGATTTAGTTCAAGGTGGCGTTGAAATAGTCTTGAAAAGTCTTAAATTTGACTTGCTGAAACCTGTGGATACCAGAGAAACAACATGCTTGGCTTTACAACCTCACTTTGGCATTTTAGCCACTTTTGGTTTTCAGTAGATCAAAAATTCAGATTAAACTAAATCTGTGATTCTGAAACCAGGTTAAAATAACTCCAGAGCTCAAATTTTCTTATTTTTCTTCAAACTCTGTGAAGATGCAGAAGTTTAGAGAAGCTTCTGCGTTTACAGTAAGAGACTCTGACGTTTATTGCTCCCGTTCAGGAGTTGCAGATGGAGAAATCATCTAGAAAAGTAAGAACTTTTCCGAAAGATTAAATCTGGTCTGACTGTTAAAAGGTTTCTGTCAGATTACAGAAGCTTTTAATGTTGGAATAAAATGTCTGTTTTCTAAATAATCCATGTTTAAAGGCTGCAGCTGCTGAAGATGATAAACAGTTTGACATTTAAATTCTGTCTTTAAATCCAGTTTCATTTTTATCGCTGAAAAACTACAATTGCATGGAAAATCAAAACTCCATGTTTATGGCAGGAAGTTTGAGTTTAAATGTGGAAATGAACTTGAGTTTAATACTTAATTATTTATGTAATCAAGATTGTTTCCTGATACTGAGGCAAAATATCAAACTCCAGCTAAATTTTGGTTGATTTAGCAACAAAATTATGGCCATCTAGTTTCAAAATATTTATATGTTGACTTTGTTTCTTTCAACTTGTCCATCTCTGTTATTAGTTTCCTCCTCCAGCTCATTGCATTTCCATATTTCCGCTCTCAGACCTGACGGAGCTGCAGGTGACCGTCTCAGACGTGAACGCTCGCTACGACGCTGTGGGCAGCGAGCTAAAGGAGCGTTTGGGCCAGCAGCAGGCCTCTCTGCAGCTGCGGCAGAAGGCCCGGCAGAACACGGAGGAGCTCAGGAGCTGGCTGAGCGACCGAGAGAAAAGCCTGACGCTGGGGCAGATGACTTCCCCGTCCAAACCCGAGGTGGCGCGCGCTCAGGCCCAACAAAACAAGGTCACAGATTTAGAAGCTTTGTAAAAAAAGACTTAAATGGGTCCATTTGGTGAAAGTTAATCTCATAACTGTGTCCTTCAGGCTCTGCTCTCAGAGCTGGCGGAGCATTCAGGGAAGGTGGAGGAGCTGAAAAGTACGTTGAGAAAACTAATTGCAGACAATCCCGACTCCCCCGAGGCCGATGGCTGGAGGCAGCAGCTGCAGGAGATCGGTACGCTCTGCTGTTTCTTATTGATCTCAGGTCATATTCAGGTGATCTGAGACATTTAATGATCAAATCTGCAGAAGATTGATGCTTAAATCTGCATGTGATGAACTCAGCTTTGAAACTGGAACATGAAGACCTGCAGGACATAGACCTGCAGGACACAGACCTACAGGACATAGACCTGCAGGACATAGACCTACAGGACATAGACCTACAGGACATAGACCTACAGGACATAGACCTACAGGACACAGACCTGCAGGACATAGACCTGTTGGGGGAATGATAATAGGTCACCTGTGATATATTGTGATTTGTGTTTATTGTTTCCTCAGACTCCCGCTGGCAGACGGCCAATCAGACGGCGGCTCAGCGGCAGGCGGAGCTGGAGACGTGCGCCGACCGGCTGGGCAGCTTTGCCTCGGCGGCCAATCAGCTCGGCCCCTGGCTGAGAGAGAAGGAGCTGATGATGAGCGTCCTGGGGCCCCTGAGCATCGACCCCAACATGCTCAACACGCAGAAGCAGCAAGTCCAGGTATGAGGTGCCGAACTGCCGACGGTCGCCATCTTAGTTCTTCTCCAGGCACCGCTGATGGAGTTCACTGTTTGTTCCAGTTTATGCTGCGGGAGTTTGACACGCGGCGGCCCCAGTTTGACCAGTTGACCCAGTCGGCGGAGGGAATCCTCTCTCAAACCGGGGACTCCGCTCAGGACCCCAAGGACCTGGAGGAGGTTCGCACAGAACTGGGCTCCATCTCCCAGCAGTGGGAGGATCTGACCGGCCGGCTGAGTCAGCGGTCCAGTCACATCGATCAGGCTCAGGGAACCAGCGAAAAATACCAGGTATGACTGGTTTCTGTGGACTGGACCTGGAAGTTTAATAGAACTATATAAAGACAGAGGATAGTAAGTCAGTTATGCTAGCTTAAATAATATCTAGTTAAGCTAATCAGTTATGCTAACTTGACTTTGACAACCTTAACATGTACATGTGCTGTGTAATTCGGTTGACACTAAAATAAGACGAGCAACTCGGACAGATCATTGTTTAAATTAGCTAATCAGTGACCGTCATGTTCACACCGCTTCCATCCGGCGAGATTACATATTTTATCCATTAAAACATCATTTCAGCCACATTTTATAGAAATATAAATGGTAAATTCTGGTGCTACGCACATTTTGCTCAACCTTCATTGAAACAGGTTTGACATGCGTCATGGTACTGGTGCCTGCAGGAAGGCGTTGATGGCTGTAGCGCCTATCGGGCGATGTCCAGCGCAGTGATCTAGAGACTTCTTCTCTTCTGCAGGGCTTGCTTAAGGATCTGTCCTCCAGCATCGCGTCGCTCAGCGAGAGGCTGGATGCTCAGGCCTCGCTCAGCGCCCAGCCTGAGGCTCTGAAGCGCCGGCTGCAGGAAACCGGAGAGATCCGGTCGGAGCTGGAGCGGCGGCGCGGCGAGCTGTCGGAGGCCGAGAGGCTCTGCGGGGAGCTGAGCGCCATCGTGGCCGAGCCGTACCTAAAGGAGGAGCTGAGCAAGCGGCTGCAGAGTGTCAGCGCGCCGCTGAGGAGCCTGGAGGAGAGAGCGGGTCGGTATCAACCACTGAACATAAACTAGCAGATCTCACCACAATAAATCAACATAAAATATAGAAGAACCAAACTAAACTACACTAGCAGCCGAGCTAACGGGAAGCACTGCCACCCTGTGGTGTAACTCGATATAACAACTCAATTTACTTTTATCCCCACCCCTTTGTGCAGAAAAGAGCACAAATCCTCAACATTAAATGAATATGAATCTTTCTGAAATGATTCGTCAGAGTTTACAACTTAAGGCTGCTCTCTGGTTTCCTTCCCCTCAGCGGACGGCCTGACCCAGCTCCAGGCCGCTCTGTCCTCCACGCAGCAGTTCCAGCAGATGTTTGAGGAGTTGCGCTCTTGGCTGGACAGGCAGTCGGATCTCAAACAATCGCCCTCCGACTCTCTGCCCTGCCGCCCCGAGGCCATCCGCTCCCTGCTGGCGCAGACCGAGGAGCTGCAGCGCGGCGTCGCCAGCCAGCGGGGATCCTACGAGCTGATCCAGGCAGAGGGCGTGTCGCTGCTCGCCACGCTGCCCGCGGACGAGCGCTCCGCTCTGCAGGCCCGCCTGGCCTCGCTGAGGCAGGACTGGGAGGCCGTGAACCAACGGATCGCGGAGCGGGAGACCCGGCTGAAGAACTCGCTGGGCAAAGCGGAGACGTACCAGCAGCACCGGGCCGAGCTGACGCCGTGGCTGGCCGAGTGCGAGCAGAAAGACGGAGAGGTCCGGGCGTCGCTGGACCCGTCTGTCCTGGACGAGTCTCTGCAGAAAGCCCGGGCGCTGACGCTGGACCTGGAGAGACGGCAGCCCCTACTGGAGGCTTTTAACACTGCAGCCGACCAGCTGCTGGAGCAGTGCTGCATCGGAGAGGAAGAGGTAGGACATTTATTTTACTTTTTAAATAAACAACTAAATAAAATAAATAATAGAACAAAGAAGTAAGCTTTTCGGTTTTCATTTTACTTTTTAAATAAGAAAACAACCATTTTAAAAAGGAAGCAGTATGACTTTTTATATATTTATTCATAAAAAATAAAATAAAACCACAGAGAAAGGTAAACCTTTAAAGCTGCGTTCTCCAAACATTTTGCCATGAAGGTCAACGTCATTATTATGGTAATTATTTCTCATTGTGACTCTATACTCCAGCTATTGAGTAATCAATTACTAGATTAGTTGACAATTTTTTTCGGTGATGTATTAATTTGATTAATCGTTTTAGTTATAACCGTAAAAGAGGAAAAACTGTCCTTCTGCAGCAGTTTATTAAAAGACATTTTTCTCCTTGAAGCTGCGAGATGAGAAGGCGCAGCTGAACCGGCGGGTGGACAGACTGAGCGAGGACCTCCTGAACCGGACCTCCCAGCTGGAGGAGCTGGCCAGCCGCCTGAAGGAGTTCGAGGACGGCAGACAGGCTGTGGAGAGGAGACTGGAGGCCGCCAAGCATCAGATCGAAGTCCAGGAGGCTCTCGGACCTCAGGTACCGGAAAGAAATGATCACAACTGAAACCATCCTGCTGTTTTTCATTAAACATCATAAGAAAGACAAATATGTCTGTCAGTTTATTAAAAATAACACATTTCCATGCAGACATGCAGCGCTAAAAGCCTGGAGAGACTGAGGAGTCAGCAGGAGAGTCTGCGCTCCCTGCAGCCTCAGGTGGTCTACCTCAAAGATCTGGCCCTGGGACTGGTGCAGGACGCACCCCAGACACCAGGGGGCAGCACTGAGGGAACACAGAGGCTGCAGGAGCAGGCCAAGGACACCGAGAAGGAATATGATGAGGTCACTGATAAGGTGAGGAGAGAAGGCCCAGAACAACCAGCTTCCTTTGAAGCAAATGGCCTTTTATTGAGTCTGAAGACTCAAGTTAACTATTAATTACTAAATTAGTTGACAAGTATTTCATAAATTGATCAACCATAGTTAATTCAATTAGTCATTTTTGTACAAAACTAAAGATTTTCATGTTAAAATTTGCAGAGAACCCCATTATTTCTTTGCCAGAGAAATCCTAACATATTTGAGATATTTGTTGTAATTTCCAGTGCTGGGTTGCAGCTTTTTCTCAGGACTAATGTCTAATCTCATGTGACTCGCATGTTAAAGCAGAACTTATTGCATAATGTGGGAAGGAGCAGTGAAAATCAGATGAAAGCAACCACAACTTCAGCAGTTTATTCACTGCAGAGCGAAGGAAGCTGTTGATATCCAGGAAATGCTTGTCTGCTCCTCCTGCAGGAGTCATATATGGTCAGTGTTGGACCTTCAGCACTTCATCATCGCTGGAAATGTAAACCAGAATGATGGGAATTCAAACCCACAGCAATGCATCTGGTTTCTGCAACTCAATCGCTTAGTGTTCAGCGAGTTTCTTCTTCGTTTTGTTTGTGATGCTGAATGATGAACAGGCTCCAAAAACATAATTGGCTTCTGGAATTTGTGATTTCAGATTTTAATAAGTAAAAATCAAAGATGTTTCCAAAAACTTTAGTTCAATTGTGTTAAAAATAGTGAGAAAACACCAGGAGTTTCAGCTCCATAAGCGTAACGTAAACGTACGCAGGGCACATTATCCTTGATTTTCTAGTCTGACAAAAAAATAATTCTGTTGAGATTCTATTTATTTTAAAGAAAAACTTCAATTTGGTGTTTTAAGGTTTGGAAAGTTCCTGATTTCTATAAAGTCGTCAGAAGTGTTTAATATTCACACTGCACAGTTTAGTAATAAACTCCAATCTAACATTTGATTAAAGGCTGAAATTTGGAAAACATTATTTACAGGGAAACCAGATATTCTTAGACTTATTTTCTTTCTCACACTTTGATGTTAAATCAGACTAAACTTTTCTTGTTTTAGGTCAATTACAATAATTAAAATTCATTTTATTTGCTTGATCCCGGAAATCTTTTCTTTTCTTTGTATGTTGTGTTTAAACGTTTAATTTGATCAGAAAGAACATTTTCCTCATCATAATTTATTTGGATTGTTTCGATGAAATGAATGTTTATTACGCCTAATAAAAACTTATTGTTTTATATTTTATACATTAAGCAACATTTTTAAAATTGCAGTTTTAAAATGTTTTTTTTACCAATTTTTTTACTGTCTCTATTTTTTTTACCGTCTGTGCTGCAGAAAGTAAAATACCACCATAATACATTATTAATAACAGTATTTATTATTTTTATCATTTGTTGTTTGTACCTTGAAAATGGTTGAAAAGTTCTTGTGTGAAACATGGTTTTAACTTCCTGAACCTCCATCAGATGGAGCTCTGCTGCTCCTCCCTGGAGTCGCGCCTGCAGGGCGTCGGCGAGGTCCAGTCTCACGTCCGCGACGTTTTCTCCCGCCTCGCCGACCTGGACGACGAACTGGACTCCCTGAGTCCCGTCGGCCGCGACGCCGACTCCCTGGCGTCTCAGGCGGACGCCGTGAAGAGCTTCCTGTCCCGCCTGTCGGAGCTGAGGGCGGAGCTGGAGGGACACGGCGCCGAGTGCAGCTCCATGTTGAGGAGGGAAGGCTCCTCGCCGGACCTGCTGGCTCTGCGCCGGGAGACGGAGGCGTTGAGCCGCCAGGCTGGCAAGGTGAGGAAAACATTCTTCAAGTTCATCATTTTAGTGACCACTTCAGTATTTTTACACAATATTTAAAATGCATTAAAATGTAAACAAACAAATTTCAAATTTTATTGCCTAAAATGCTGCAGCTTATGGTTGTTTTTGTAATTGATGTTTGAATCAATTATTCTGATGATTAATTAGATATATAAATGATAAAATTCTTCAGGTTTTTATATAAACACTTAAGTCTTTTTTACACATTTGAAATACATTTAAAAAATTGAGATAAATTATACATTTTTTACTTAAGAACATTTTATTTTGTAAAATTCAATAAAACAGGTGAAGCTAAAACTGACACTTGAAGAGTTTTACATAAAATATATTAAAGATATTGTAGTTTTAAATGTTAATTATGTGTATATTTTGTACAGTTGTTTCTTGAATTGTTTCTGTCAGCAAATTAAACTTTTTAATCTATAGTCCATTTAACAATCAGTTGGTTAAATATTTGATTATTATTTATCAGTTAATTCAATAATTCCTAATAATATAAAGCAGACAGAGCAGAGATTACTGTAGAAACAGAACATGCAGACATTTTGCATCTGAATGAATGTTTTAATTAAACAGGAGGAACGTGCTTCGTCTCTTAGCGTCTCGTTTATTTCTTGCTCTCCAGCTGAGCGAGCGCGGCCAGGCCAGGCTGGTTCAGATCGAGGACGCGGCAGAGAGAGTCCAGGACTTCTACCGGCTGGTGGCGGAGCTGCAAGGCATGCTGGGAAAAGCCGAAGAGGGGCTGAACTCGCAGGGAGCGGTCGGCACAGAGGTGGAGATGATCAAACAGCAGCTGCAGGAGTTCAAGGTAGGACCCGCCGGGTTTGAGTTGCTCCTGAAGCCGGTCGCTTTGTTTGGAGATTCAACTTCAGAATTTCTCTAGCAATCGAGAGATTTAAAAAAACTGACCTTCAAGTTTTAAGTCAACAATGACTTAAGATTGATGGAAAGTATTCCAGTTACTTGTAAGTTCAATTTTTCTTATTTCAATATCTGCACTACAAACTGGGTCAAAAATATTTAGTAAGATTTGTGTGTTTGCCGTGTGAACAATTACATTTTATTCAGTGCAGGAAAACTTTCCTGTAGCAGCCCGTCTTACAGTGATGCAAAAGAAGCCTCTGACTGAAGACACTGCTTAATCGTTCTTTGCCCAGAACAGAACCAGTCTCCTTTGTCACCTTGTTTAGACCTTTTCAACATTTTATTTTTCTATTTCGTGTCAGAATCATCAAAAAATAACATAAAACTGGGAAAAGTCTTTTTTAAGTGGCTTTATTGAAAAGTGTTTTATTGATGGAGTCATCCAAAGGTTTCTTGGTTCCAAAGAAGAGAAACAAAGTGTCACTATTTTTCATAGCTAAGAGTTTTATTCTTCAGATTAGCACTAAGTATGAAATTATTTTTGCCCAGATGAACAGAGTAAAGGTCCGTGCAACACGAGCTTCTCCTCTCAGAGCTGCGTTTGTGTGTCCTGAATGGCGTCACTGAGTATTTGCAGAGCTCTGTCCTCCACAGATCCTGATTTAAAGGGATTGCGTGCGTCTGTTTGAACCGCGCTGCTCTGCAGACGCCTGAATCACGCTGCCTTTCCTGCCTTTGATGCAGCATCACTAGTGATGTTTGTCAGGAAATCTTCCAGCACATATTTCATTATTTTCCCGTTTCGAATGTAAATCCATAAAACGAGTTTTGCTGCAAAACTTTCAAAGTTTGGTCCAAACTGAAATTGTTTTAATAAGGCAGAATTTTAGTAGTTCTGCTTTGATGGAGGATGTTTCATAATCCTCTCTTTTCATCTAAATGTCACAATTTGCATTTGCAAACATAATATTTAAAAAAGCTCAAAAAAAGTACAATTTTCTCACAAGAAAAGTTTCTTCAATGTTTAGAAAAAGTTAAAAAAAATTGACTTTGAGGGTCCTGCTTCATTGTCACTCATCTACCGCTTTGATCTTATAATTACGAAACAGACCGAAGCCTGAATTTGATACCAGTCTCTCTGTTTGATTCCTTTTCTTGTGGCTGCGACGTCCTCAGTCGGTAAAGTCTGCGGCTGCAGCTGTGCAGCTTTTGTTGTGGTCGCTGCTTTTATCTCAGGCATTCAACCATTTCTCTTAGTGATAAAGACACGGTCGTCTCTACGAAACGTTGCTGTGCTTTAAGCCCATTAAACTGTATTATTTATTTGTTTTATCAGTAGATTAAAGATGGTTCTCAACATGCAATTCTCTGTCCAGAAAATATTCACAGAACCTTCATATTTACTGCAAAAAATAACTGCTTCTTAATCCCAGATCGCACATGAAAAGAGGCTTTCTGTTGTCTGAAGCACTCCACACCAAGTCAATGCCACAACTGTTTGAGTTTGGTCACTTATTCATCAATCTCCATTTCATTTTTAACAACTTTTATAAAACTTAGACACTTCATTAACAAATATCAATAATTCTAGTAATTTAAAAGAGAAATAAAGCAAAATACAAATGACCAAACAAACATTTCAAATGAAAAAGAAATCAGGTTTTATAGTGTGAAATTCTTTGTCTTAACATTTCTATTAGGCGTATACGTCCTGTATGTGTTCAGCTGGTGAGCCTGTACCACTAGCATACAGGCTTTGGTATGTAGCTATACCAAAACTCGCTGTGGTCTTTAGCGTTAAGGATCGCAGCAAAAATCCGGAAATACTTCAGCTCCCTTTAAAAATAATTACGACAGCCTCTTTTAATAGTTCAAACATCAAATACACACTAACATGCATCAATACACGCCGTGGAAAATATCTTTGCATCTTTGCATCTTCCTTATTTCCACTCTTGGTGTTTCAGCCAATCAGCATCAAAGAAAATAAAAGACTCTCCTGAATTGGCTGTTTTGCAAATGCCATAAGTTAATACTGATTGGCAGCAGAAAAGAGAGCCAATTTAAAATAAATAAATAAATAAAAGTCGCATTCGATGGGCATTGCGCCGTTACCTAGCAACGCTGATGGAGTTCTGCCCGTTGCCTAGCAACCCCAGCAGAACTCAGCACATAAATTTTTACTGCAAATTCAAATTTTACGTTTTTCTGCTGTGGTTTCATGTTTATGTCTGTTACCAAGCATTTATTTTTAGTTGACATTTTCAACATCAGTGTTTGCGTTTCCAGGAGCAACAACCTTTAAAAGCGTAATAAAGTTTTATTTAAAACAGTCAAAAACAATCAGTGAAAAATAAAACAAAGTGTCGGTGGATCGTTGTGGGATTCGTCTCTGATTGGCTGTAATTTAGCCTCGACAGCAGCAAGTAATGCTCTGGCTTTCGGCGGGTTCCCTGCAGTCACCTCCATTTATCCTTAATTTGTTCGTCCAGCTCCGTGTCGGGACACAGAGTCCTCTTTCTGTCCAGCCACTATCATTAAAAACCACTTTTTTCTCAGCATGATGTCATATCCTGGCCACTGAGAGTAAGAATGCAAAAACTATAAAACCAGGAGTCCTTTTTAAATCCAACAGAGGGATTTTCTGCTTCTTTATCAACCTTTTCAAACACTTTAACTTTTTATTTAGATATTTAAAATCGGTTTTCCTGCTGTGTTCGTCTTTCTGTGCTGTGAGGTTTAATGAGAACAAGCTGGGAAACGTGCGGCAAACAACAAAAGGATGGAAGAAATAAAGAGCCGTTGAAAGAAAACGAGAGAGAAGATGAATAGACTGATAGATCAGACTGAGTAAAAATGTGACTCATGCATTTCATGCTTAAAGATTTTCAGGTGCAGCTAATGATGGATGAATATATTCACAGACGTGCTTTGAGTAACGTAACTTTATGCTGCTAAGCAGATTTTCTGGACTTAGTCAGAGGTTCACCGATTGGCTTTTTATGATACAACAGATTCAGGTGATTTGTCCCTATTAAACATTTAAGCTGAATAAATGTTGACAACATTGGAGGAAATGTGCTGCAAAACGTGCAAAAAATTTTGAAAACCAGATTAAAATTTATATTAACATTCCTTTTAATATATATGCATAAAATGTGGTTTTAGTTTTAACACATGGCTGAAATATATCCAAGAAAAGTTCCAAACTTAAAGTTGAACAGACGTAAAAATGGATTTTAGTTCCAACAAGTTGCTTCCTGATGAGCTGAAAACTCGCCTCATGGTGGATGATCACCTGAAAGACGACGGATTGACTCTGGCTTGATTTCACTTTCACATGTGGTTGAAAATATCTTCTGGTCATGGTCGAGTAAAACACTAAAACTGAGAGAAAACTCCCCAAAACCGACGATTTAAAACCCAGAGAAGGTGACAGAGCAGTCCGGCTGCTGGGAAGAAAAACATAAAGAAATGAGAAACGGATCAGGACGTTTTCCTTTGCTGAAAATCGGGACAAATCATGAACCGTTTCCCACTTTTACCCAAGTTCTCTGTTCTGTTTTTAATCACTAAATTGATTGTTTTAATGAGAGGAGAGAATCTGGTCTTGAAGCTGGTGTTTATGTTGCGTTTTTCTTGATTTATTCTCTGATCCGTGCAGCAGACAGGCTGTTAGAAAGCAACGCGGTGCAGAATGCGTAGCGGCTACTGTCTGCAGGGTTTGTAGAGCATGGAGAAATGGTGTGTCACTGGCTGCGTCTGGGGGCTGGGGGGTATTTATAGGAGGCCGAGGAGGAGGAAGCAGCCGAGGTGAGAAAGAATGGGAGGAAAATCAAAAAATGTTAAAAATAGAAGGACAACAGCAAGAAATATGAGGAAAAATGTCTCTTCCTGCCGATTTGTCTTGTTGTTCATTATAAAAGGAGCAAATATGGCCGACGTTTTCCAAAACGGGGATAAAAAGATTTGGTCCAGTGCTTGAATGGACTCTCCTCTCTTTGTCCCAGCCTCCCTCCTGCTCCTCTGAAAGCGATCCAACTCGGCTCATTTCAAACCTAAACATGTCTGTCTGGCTCCAGAGCAGACCAGGCCTCCCCTCCTCACCCCCCATAAGACCCCGTTTCAAATCCAGGGGGGTGATGTCATGCCGATGCTTAAAAAGACGAGGGGCGTGGGTGGATGAGGGGTCACCGGGGTTAGGGTGGTGGTGGTGTTGTCACATTCTGGTTTGAACTCTGTAAACAGTGATCTCACACTGCTGAGGTTGAGGGGCGGCTTATCTTTTTGTTTTCATTCCCTTATAACCAGTGGGGTTGGAATAATCAGAGAAAAATGTCTAGTTTAGGTAAAGTTACTATATTTGTACCCAGAGATTGGTTTGTTTTGCACAAAACACGCATTTCCCTGCAGACACACACCCTAAAAAGTAAGAGCACATCAACAAAACCGGAACTGATCAGATATAATAAAGCTCGACGATTCAAATCAGAGTGGGACTCAGAAGATGAGAGTAAAACTTAGAAACTAAACCATAATATGTTGAAATAAAAACATGCCCATTACCTAGCAACCAGGGGAACTCCAGCATATTTAATCAGCTGGTTTTACCGCTGCTGTACAATGGCTGCTGGAAAAAGCAAGGCTTTTGTTGTTCACTTACTGTCCAGAAATCACTTCCTGCTTTCTTGCTGGTTGTGCAGAAGGCTTCACTGATGCTTTTCAAAGATGTGAGTTTGCATTACTGCACATCTGTTTGTAGCGGTGAGTTTGGGGGCGTGGCCAGCAGCTGCTTATTTGAATTTAAAGTGATAAGACGCCCTAAAACAGCTCAAAGTCGGCAAAACTCACCATACTAAAATCTCGTTCTCTAAACATAATTTTGTGCAAAAAATGTAATTTGTATGATTTGTATAGGCCATAGAATTATCCTAAGCTGATCTA